GCCAGAGGCCCAACTGACTAAGCCACCCAGGCGCCCCAACAATGAGTTTTTCTAGGTGGCATATACTTGTTCCAAGCCGGGAAAACTAGAATTGAGGACACTGATTAAAAAAAAAAAAAAAGATGTAAAAGATCTGTATGTTGAAACTATAGAACGCTTATGAAGGAAATTGAAGAAGACATAAGAAAATGGAAAAACATGCTCACTAATTGGAAGAATAAATACTGTTAAAATGTCAATACTACCCAAAGCAATCTACACATTCAACGCAATTCCAATCAAAATTGCACCAGCATACTTCTCAAAGCTAGAACGAACAATCCTAAAATTTGTATGGAACAACAAAAGACCCTGAATAGCCAAAGTAATTTTGAAGAAGAAAACCAAAGTGGGAGGCATCAGAATCCCAGACTTTAGCCTCTATTACAAAGCTGTAATCAATCATCAAGACAGCATGATATTGACATAAAAACAGACACATAAACCAATGGAATAGAATAGAGAACCCAGAATTGGACCCCCAAATGTATGGCCAACTAATCTTTGACAAAGCAGGAAAGGGTATCCAACGGAAAAAAGACAGTCTCTTTAGCACATGGTGCTGGGAGAACTGGACAGCAACATGCAGGAGAATGAAACTAGATCACTTTCTCACACCACACACAAAAATAAACTCAAAATGAATAAAGGACCTGAATGTGAGACAGGAAACCATCAAAACTCTGGAGGAGAAAATAGGAAACAACCTCTTTGACCACAGCTGCAGCAATTTCTTACTCCACACATCACCAAAGACAAGGGAATTAAAAGCAAAAATGAATGATTGCCACCTCATCAAGATAAAAAGCTTCTGCACTATGGGGCGCCTGGGTGGCTTAGTCGGTTAAGCGTCCGACTTTCGCTTAGGTCATGATCTTGCAGTTCGTGGGTTTGAGCCCCGCGTCGGGCTCTGTGCTGAGTGCCAGCTCAGAGCCTGGAGCCTATTTCAGAGTCTGTATCTCCCTCTCTCTCTGACCCTCCCCTGCTCATGTTGTCTCTCTCTCTCTCTCTCCTAGAAATAAATAAAAATATTTAAAACAAAAAAAAAGCTTCTGTACTGCAAAGGAAACAATCAACAAAACTAATAGGCAACTGACAGAATGGGAAAAGATAGTTGCAAATAACATATCAGATAAAGGGCTAGTATCCAAAATCTATAAGGAACTCCTCAAACTCCACACCCAAAAAAACACAAATAATCCAGTGAAGAAATGGGAAGAAGACATCCAGATGGCCAACAGACACATGAAATGATTCTTAATGTCACTCATCATCAGGGAGATACAAATCAAAGCCACATTGAGATACCACCTCACGCCAGTCAGAGTGGCTAAAATGAACAAATCAAGAAACTACAGATGCTGGCGAGGATGTGGAGAAATAGGCACCCTCCTACATTGTTGGTGGGAATGTAAATTGGTGCAGCCCCTCTGGAAAACAGTGTGGAGGTTCCCCAAGAAATGAACAGTAGAACTCCCCTATGACCCAGCACTGCTAGGAATTTACCCATGGGACACAGGAGTGCTGATGCCTAGGGGCACATGTACCCCAATGCTCACAGCAGCACTTTCAACAATGGCCAAATTATGGAAAGAGCATAAGTGTCCGTCAACTGACCAACGGATCAGGAAGATGTGGTTTATATATACAATGGAACACTACATGGCAATGAGAAAGAATGAAATCCTGCCATTTGCAGCAATGTGGACGGAACTGGAAGGTATTATGCTTAGTGAAATAAGTCAGTCAGAGAAAGACAGATATGTTTTCACTCATGCGTAGATTTTGAGAAAATTAACAGAAGACCATGGAGGAAGGGAAGGGGGAAAGAAAAGTTACAAACAGAGAGGGAGGGAGGCAAACCACAAGAGACTCTTAAATACAGAGAACAAACTGAGGGCTGATGGGGGTGGGGGAGAGGGGAAGGGGTTGATGGGCATTGAGGAGGGCACTTGTTGGGATGAGCACTGGGTGTTATATGGAAGCCAATTTGACAATAAATTATATTTAAAAAAATAAAGAGAACAAATTGAAGTCAAGAATCAATTCCCTCTGATCAAAGCCTATGTGCACTTAACAATCCTCTCCTGTATCACTGGCCCCCTGCTGTGTTCCATTTGTCACAGAGTACCCTTCAGTGGGGTACCTCATTCCCCAGACAGGTCTCCCCTGACAGAGATGTAAGGAATAGCAAAATGCAGCCCCCAGCCCCCTAGAAGTTTGGCCCACGTGACTCAATCCCCAGGAGCTTATCGCTCCTGCATGAACTGGAAAACATCCTGTGGGTGAAAGAAGGAACGGTAGTAAGACACGAATGAATATATCTGACAATTTTCAGTGTGATTTTAGCATCACAGAGCCTGTCATTTGCATAATGACTCAGGCTACAGAGACATCCTAGTCACACTAACAGGGACATTGAGTTCTTTTGACTCCTGTACTTCTTAGATTCTTTCTTTTTTTAATGTTTATTTGAGAGAGAGAGACAGAGAGACGGAGAGAGAGACACATTTTCTGAAGCAGGCCACAGGCTTTGAGCTGTCAGCATAGAGCTCGATGAGGGTTGCAAACTCGCGAGCCGCAAGATCATGACCTGAGCCAAAGTTGGACACTTAACCAACTGAGCCACCCAGGCGCCCCCAGACTCCTGCACTTTTTGAACACAAAGTCATGGAGAGAAAATTCAGTATTTTGTTAAATAGTACAATAGTGCTTTGTTAAAGTGTCTAAAACTGATTAGGTTTCCATTTAGACTTTCCAAGTACTTTATCCAGCTTGTTGCTAGCAACGGGTATACAGGCAGTCTTTAAAATGTAATATGGTGCTCACCCGGGTCAAAACCCAGCAAGACCAGATGGGAAAAACCGGCCCACGATAGCCCTCTTACCATATATTACCAACCTTTGAAGTTTAAGGAAAAGAATACCAAGTAGTCAACACCACACCCTACCAATTACACAGTTACCTACCTTCCTCGGAAGCAGAGAAGCCTCAAATATTCAACCCCTAATATTTCACTCATCTATCCAGCTAACACGTTCTAAACACCAACGGTTTGCCAGGCACTGTGTACATGCTGGAGGCTGAGTTAAAGACGCACCGGATAACACGAGCGAGTCAGTCAGCCTGCGGCCGCCCCACTCCCCGACCTTGCCGCCCACCTCACATAACCTGGGAAAGGCAAACATACTTGTTCTTTTTCTCATCCTATGACTCCCTTACTCTTTTTCTACTTATGACTTCCAGATTGAAACTTAAGACTAAAATATAAAGTATATCAGTTTGACTGAAACAGAATAGCATAGTAATACTTGTACAGTCTTTCAAATTCCAGAGGCCAATTTTCAACATTTCTTCCCAGTGACTGGGAGCAACAGATGACTTGGCTGGGAACATAAGTAAGAGGAAGTTTCCGTACATCAGTTAGTCCCTTTGCTGCGCTGTCAACAGATGCGGAGAAATCACCCACGAGGGCTACTGAAGCACATTCGTGCACCCGGCGTGAAGCCAGGTTAGGTTCCTAATCTTCCAACATACGACTTTGAAAAAACGATGGACCCGATGATGTCAAGAAACCCCATTCTCCCGAGTCTAAATCTGCTCTGGTGGTACTCCTGCAGGAATGACATGCAGAGTTTATGGAACGAAATGACAAAACAACCCAAGTCAAGAAACTAAGGATGGACTCAGGAACACAGGTGTGCTGTTTCGAAGGGGCACATGCGCCCCAATGTTTATAGCAGCGCCATCGATAACAGCCAAAGTATGGAAAGAGCCCAAATGTCCATCGACGGATGAATAGATAAAGAAGACGTGGTATTTATATACACTGGAGTATTACGCAGCAGTCAAAAAGAATGAAATCTTGCCATTTGCAACTACGTGGATGGAAGTAGAGGGTATTATGCTTAGCGAAATTAGTCAGAGAAAGACAAACCTCATATGACTTCAGTTATATGAGGACTTTAAGCTACAAAACAGATGAACATAAGGGAAGGGAAGCAAAAATAATATAAAAACAGGGAGGGGGACAAAGCATAAGAGACCCTTAACTATGGAGAACAAACAGAGGGTCACTGGAGGGGGTGTGGGAGGGGGATGGGCTACATGGGTGAGGGGCAGTAAGAAATCTACTCCTGAACTCATTGCTGTACTCTATGCTAACTAACTTGGATGTAAATAAAAAAATTAATTAATGAGTTAAAAAAAAAATGGACCCAGGAGCCACAAAATCTCTGAGGCCACAGCAAGCAAATTCACAACGACCCTCGAGTGACACTCAATGGTCCCAGGTGCAAGAGACTCCCTGAACAGTAGCCACCAGAGAGGAGCACAACGAAAGTAACTCCATCCATGTAACCAAATACAAGGGACTGATCTAAGAAAATAACAGAAGAATATTCAGTGATATGGAAAAATATCCCCAATTTATTGCAAAGAGAAAATGTTCATGATTCAAGCAGTATTTTCATGGGGAAAATTTGATGGAGATTTTTTGGCTGGTGAGGGGGAGATTTTTACTTTTAATTTTTATGGGAATGATTGTGTATGTGTGTTAAATACCTACACTGGAATGCCACGTATACAACATGCATATGCGAAGAAAGAGACCGGGAGATTACACACTAGAACTTAGTCATTAGCCCAACATTACAGATGATTACTATTTACTATTCTAGCTTATTTTTCTGTAGAAAACATCTGTTTCTTTTGGAATGGGAAAAGTTATTTAAAAAAAACAGTAACAAAGTTGAAGTGATTAGGATATGATTTGGAAAAGGGATATTTTGAATATTTTACAAGATACATTTTATGAATTTTCAGTATAAGATTTATACTTTTGAAGAAAAAAACCTCCAATTTAACTGAGTTTTTAAAATTACATCAAGACACGAGAACACTGAGGAGCGCATATTTTCAAATATTTAACTCGGCATGTAGAATACACATGGGCATGTTACCTTTTCAATATTATCATAGCATTCTTCCAAACTCTGCATTCTGTCTTGTAGAACTGTACTTGCTTTTTTATACTCCATCAACCACTGTTGATATTCTTTCTCAGTTAAATCTGTATAGGCGATGCAGAGGGTTCTCAGCCCTGTAAGAAAGAATGGAATATAACCTGATCGAGCCACCAGTGATCGGGGAGGAGCAGAGAATTTGAAAACAAATCCAAAAGTGTGTTAGAGGTCACAGGAGTGTGAAGTCCTCCACACGGCGCCACCTGCCCTGTCCCCAGCTTCCTTCCAGATCTTGTCTCCTCCCCTCCGCACTGCTTTCTGTCCGGGCCCTGCCCGTCCTCTTACTTCCCTACACTTGCACTTGGCTCTGCCCTTGACCTGGAACACTTCATGTGGTTCTCTCTCCCTTCCCTTCCTTCAGTCTCTGCCTAACTCACCCTATACAGAGAGCAGCCATCACACTCTGTTCTCCCTTGGCCCGCTTCAATTTTCTCCATAGCACTTATCACCCTCCTGACATTATAATCGGCTAATTCCTTCTGGACAGGTGCAGTGTATGCTTTGTTCACTTCTGTCCTGAAAGCTTACAACAGTGCATGGCACTTAATAAATAATAACTAGTTGTTGACGGAAGGAAAAACTGAATGAGGCGTTCGTTTTTCAATTTCAAAGTAAGCCAAGTAGTTGTTAAAATAACGGAATATTAATTTAAATCCCATTTTGCAAAGACTTATCAGGAAAAAATTTAGAAACCATAGTGTGCTCTAATATTTTAGGCTAACCCCTGAAAAACTATTTGGAGGACAGGTTTTCCAACTATCCCCCAAATAGCTGAGGATCCCCTAGAAATTAGCTCTCTACAGACAACCTATGAAGTTGTTATTCTGTTTTGAGCTCCATTACAATACAGTTCCCATGTGCTTCTGCCTGTTGTAAACTGCCTACAGCCCATATGTTTTTTTTTTTTAATGTTTATTTATTTATTTCTAGGAGAGAGAGAGAGAGAGAGAGAGACAGCGTGAGCAGGGGAGGGTCAGAGAGAGAGGGAGTCACAGACTGAAACAGGCTCCAGGCTCTGAGCTGGCAGTCAGCACAGAGCCTGACGCGGGGCTCGAACCCACGAACCGCGAGATCATGACCTAAGCGAAAGTCGGACGCTTAACCGACTAAGCCACCCAGGTGCCCCTACAGCCCATATGTTTTAAGATGGCAGCCAAAGGCGCAAAGTGCAGCCTTGCAAAATACCAGCACTTCCAGGCTGGATACACAGCTGTGGGAAGCAGAAGCTTACAAACTAAAAGAATAAAATGGGATGCAGCTTCCAGGTATTATTAGCTTTACTCCTGAGTGATAGGACACCTTGCTTTTTCAGAACTTCTATAAACGTTTTAGTGAGTACTGCTCATATTCAAAACTCACTCATGAAATGTTATGTTTTCTATTAAAAAATGTTTTAAATGTTTATTTATGTTTGAGAGAGAGAGAGAAATAGACAAAAGGCAAGTGGGGGAGGGGCAGAGAGAGAGGGAGACGCAGAATCTGAAGCAGGCTCCAGGCTCTGAGCTGTCAGCACAGAGCCCGATGTGGGGCTCGAACTCACAAGCTGTGAGATCCTGTCCTTGAGCCAAAGTCAGATGCTCAACCAACTGAGCCACTCAGACACCCCTTGAAATTTTATTTCTTAAGAGACGGATGATAAGTCAAAATCAAGAGGATAATAGGATGGCAGGAAAACATCAACTATGTCTGCTCTCTGAGTTATAGGCACAAAACAATTAACTTTGAAATACACAACACATACTAGAAAAGCCTCTCTTTTTCTCCATTATGGGTCAAGTTCCTAGCACAACAAACAGAAACAGATAATAGATGTCGTTGAAGGCACTGCTTTTGGAATAAAGGAAGAACTTCATAGTTGGCATATACTTTTTACTGTTTGCTCATAAGCATAAAACACATGGAGAAACAAAGAAGGAAAAATAATAATGTCTTAACATGTGTCCGAAGAACCGCTTACTTTTGCGCAAACAGAAGACGTTACAAAGTCACATATATGAATGAGCTCCCCTTGCACCTATGGGCCAAGCATCAGTGACAAACATTCAGTTTATAATTTCAATATTTCAGAACAGCATTTCAAAAGGAAACAACATTCTAAACAATGTTCACTTACCTTCTTTGGCAAAACATTCCAGATGGGCCAATGTCTCCTTCACAAAGAGAGAGTCATCTGAAAGTCTCTTATAAATCACTGTATCCTATTTAAAAAAAAAAAAAAAAGTTCCTGTGACTAACATTTTACCTAAGCCTGGCGGTCCAAATTCTAAGTACTGCATTATAATTTTATTGTTATGTATATAATCGATGTGAAGGAACTCAAGCAGTCCCAGGGAAGGCGCAGTTCCAAAGAGGAGACTTTACATACAGAAGAACAGAGATAACAGATGTTTCGCTGAGACAATGCAAGTGATAAGCCAGTAAAGCACAATCTTTACAGAACTGATCGAAAAAACTGTCAACCTACAATCCTATATTGTACATTCAGCAAAATGTACTTCAAAATGAGGGCGAGAGAAAATAAAGAGGAAATAAAAATAATTTCCAGACATGAACAGGCTGATAAAACTTATTGCCAACAGATGCATCCTATAAGACATGCTAAAGGGAATCTGTCAGACAGGAGATTATAGCAAATAGAAACATGGGTCCGAAGAGCACCGAAAATGATAATGACATGAGTGTGTGTCACACACAATATTTTTCTTGGGGCATCTGGGAGGCTCACTCGGTTGAGCATCCAACTTTGGCTCAGATCATGATCTCGTGGTTCGTGGGTTTGAGCACCGCATAGGGCTCTGTGCTGACAGCTCAGATCCTGGAGCCTGTTTCAGATTCTGTGTCTTCCTCTCTCTCTGACCCTCCCCTGTTCATGCTGTGTGTGTGTGTGTCTCTCTCTCAGAAATAAATTTTAAAAAATATTTTCCTGTTATTTATTTTATTTAAAAAGGATAATTGCTTGAGCAAAATTAATAACAATATAGTGTGAAGTTTATAACATTTATAAAATTAAAATGTCAGACAAGGGTACAAAGATTGGGTGGAGAGAGATGGAAGTACAGAATTGTAAGGTTCTTATACTCTATGTGAAATAGTATATAATTACTCCAAGACAGAATGTAATATATTAACAATGCCCACTCCAAGACCTAAAGCAACTAATAAATTTTTAAAAAGGAGAGACATAGGAACAAAAAAATACTCAAGTAATTCTTGGAATAAAGGAAAAAAGAACTGGAACAAATAGAAAATAAATGGCAAAATGATGGTTTAAACCTAGCTGTATCAGTAAACACACATGTAAGTGGTTTAAATACCCAGTTAAAAGGCAGAGATTTTCAGGATGGATAAAAAACACACAAACCAATTACATGCTTCCTAGAAGAATCATACTTTACATATAAAGACACAAATGGGATAAAAAGAAAGAAAAAGATACACCATAGCAACACTAATCAAAAGAAGTCTGCAATGGTTATGTTATAACCGGACAACAGAGAATTCAGAGTAAAAAAAAAAAATTGCCAGGGATAGGGAAAAAACTGACGAGAGCATCAATTTCATCAAGAGGAATTAGCAATCCTGAATGTTTATACACCTAATGACATAGCTTCAAAATGAAGCTTAAACTAATAGAAGCAAATGCAATGCAGGAAAAACTAAAAGAACCTGAAGATGAAAATCACAAATCCACACACAATGATATCTGGGGATTTTAATGTCCCCCTTTACAATCATTGATAGAACAAGTTGACAAGGAGTCATCAAGGATATGAAAAATTTGAATGACAGTATCATCCAACTTAACAGTTAGAAACTATTTTACCCCCCAAAACAGCAGAATACTCAGCCTTTTTATGTGCATAGAAAACATTTAACATTAGGTAGGTCATAATATGAACCATAAAACAAGTCCCAATAAAATAAAGGATTCAAGTTACATAAAGTATGTTGTCCACTAAAATGGAATTGTGTTCTAAATCAATTAAAATAGCAGCTCTGGCAAATGCCCAAATATTTAAAAACACACACTTCAAAAGAACCCATGAGCCAAAGATGAAATCAAAGCAAAACTTAGAATATTTTGAATGAACGAAGATGACACTGTAGCACATCAAAATCTGTGACATGCTGCTAACACAATAATTAGGAGATGTATAAGACTAAACGTGCATATTTAAAAAAAGGCCTCAAATCAAGTTCGGCCTCAAGAAATTATAAAAAGACTGGAGCATATGGGTTACCCAGTCGGTTGAGTGTCCAACTCTTGATGTCGGCTCAGGTCGTGACCCCAGGTGGTGGAACTGAGCCCCACATTGGGCTCCGTACGAACCAGGGAGCCTGCTTAAGATTCTCTCTCTCTCTCCCCTTCTGCATCTCTCCCTTGCTCACACTCTCCCTCCCTCTAAAATAAAAAATAAAATGAAACTAGAAAGAGAGGAGCAAATGAAACCACAAGTAGGCAAAGAATGGGAATAATAAAGAGTAGAAATTAATGAAATAGAAAACAGAAACACTGAAGAAAAATCAAACCTGAAAGCACTTTCTTCAGGAAGATCAATAAAACCAATAACTAGGTAGCCTACCCTCAGGTCCAGATGGCTTTCTGTTCAGTTCTAGCAAACATTTAAAGAACAAATAATACCAATTCTACACACATTTTTCCGGAAAACTGAAGAATACTCCCCATTCATTTCCCAGGGCCAGCATTAAAAATGAAATAAATTTTTGCATTGCAAAAAAAGAAAATTAAAAATCACTATCCCTTTTGAAAACAGATGCAAAAATTGCAAATAAAAGTTTAGGAAATTGAGTCCAATTACACATAAAGAGGAAAATATATCGTGACCAAGTGGGGTTTATCCCAAGAATACAAGATAGGTGTAACACTTAAAAATCAACTCAATACAACTTCCCATGTTAACAGGCTAAAAACAAAAAATCATATTAGTATCTCAATGCAGGAAAACTATTTGACAAAATTTAACCTCTATTACTGGTTTTTTAAATCTCACCAAACTAGGAAGAGGAGGAAATTCCCTTAACATGATAAAAAGTATCTACAAAAAACTCACGTGGAAATGCAAAGATTCCAGAACATTTAAAACAATTTTGAAAAAGGAGAAAGTTGGAAAATTAATGATATCTGATTTTTAAGGCTTATTATAAAGTGCTTTAATCAAGAAAGTGTGGTATTGGTATAAAGATAACCAACATAACAATGAAAGAAAATAAAGTCCAGAAATAGGCCCACACACATGCAAACGGTTCAGTTTTTTTGATTAAAAAATTTTTGTTAATGTTTTATTTCTTTTTGAGCCAGAGACAGAGCATGAGCAGGGAAGGGGCAGAGAGAGGAGGAGGCACAGAATGGGAAACAGGCTCCAGGCCCTGAGCTGTCAGCACAGAGCCCGACATGGGGCTCCAACCCACGAGCTGTGAGATCATGACCTGAGCCAAAGTCGGATGCTTAACCGACTGAGCCACCTGGGTGTGCCCCACGAACAGTTCATTTTTGACCAAAGTGTAAAGGCAATTAAGTGAAGAAAGAGTAAACATTTTTTTTTAATTTTTTTTAATGTTTTATTTATTTCTAGGAGAGAGAGAGAAACAGCGTGAGAAGGGGAGGGTCAGAGAGAGAGAGGGAGTCACAGACTGAAACAGGCTCCAGGCTCTGAGCCGGCAGTCAGCACAGAGCCCGACGCGGGGCTCGAACCCACGAACCACGAACGCGGGATCATGACCTAAGCGAAAGTCGGACGCTTAACCGACTAAGCCACCCAGGCGCCCCGAAAGAGTAAACATTTTAATGAGTGCTGCTGGGAAGTTAGACATTCACACCATATCCAAAAATTACTCAACATGGATCCCTGAAGTCAGTATAAAACCTAAACTATAGGGGCGCCTGGGTCACTTAGTCGGTTAAGCGCCCAGCTCTTGCCTTCAGCTCCGGTTATGATCTCATAGTTTCATGAGTTCAAGCCCCGCTCTGGGCTCTGTGCTGACAGTGTGGAACCTGCTTGGGATTCCCTCTCTCCCCCTCTCTCTCTGCCCCTTCCCCTATTATAAGCTACAAAATTAGTGGATCTTAAAATGATTAAGAGTGGCTATTGTTGATAGCGTGCCTATAAACATTGGGGTGCTTATACCTCTTTGAATCAATATTTTTGTATCATTTGGGTAAATACCTGTTAGTGCAATTGCTGGGCTGTATGGTAGTTCTATATGTAACTGTTGGAGGAACCTCCACGCGGTTTCCCAGCACAGCGGCACCAGTTCGCATTCCCACCAAGAGTGCAAGCGTTCCCTCCTCTCCACATCCTTGCCAACATCTGTTGTTTCCTGAGTTCTTAATTTTAGCCACTCTGACAGGTGTGAGGTGGTATCTCACTATGGTTTGGATTTCTATTTCCCTGATAATGAGGGATGTTGAGCTCAAATGTCCATCGACTGATGAGTGGATAAAGATGTGGTACGGGGGTGCCTGGGGGGCTCAGTCAGTTAAGCATCCGACTTTGGCTCAGGTGGTGATCTCACAGTTCATGGGCTCAAGACCGCATCAGGCTCTTTGCTGTTAGCACAGAACTCACTTTGGATCCTTTGTCCCCCTTTCTGCCCCTCCCTCCCTCCCTCTCTCTCAAAAATAAACATTTGAAAAACTGTATTTAAAAAATGCGGTCTATGGGGCGCCTGGGTGGTTTAGTCGGTTAAGCGTCCAACTTTCACTTAGGTCATGATCTCGCGGTTCGTGGGTTCGAGCCCCGCGTCGGGCTCTGTGCTGACTGCCAGCTCAGAGCCTGTAGCCAATTTCAGAGTCTGTATCTCCCTCTCTCTCTGACCCTCCCCTGCTCACGCCGTCTCTCTCTCTCTCCTAGAAATAAATAAAAAATATTTTAAAAAATGCAGTCTATGTATAATGGAATCTTGGCCATCAAAAAGAACAAAATCCTGCCATTTGCAAGGACATGGATGGAACTGGAAAGTATCACACTAAGCGAAATAAGTCAGAGACTGCCACATGATTTCACTCATGTGGAATTTAAGAAACAAAACAGAGGGACGTATGGGAAGGAAGGGGAAAGGGGAGAGAGGGAGACAAACCATAAGAGACTCTTAACGATAGAGAACAAAGTGATGGTTGATGGAGGGAGGTGGGTGGGAGACGGACTAGATGGAGGATGGGCATTAAGGAGGGCACTTGTGATGAGCACTTGTATAGAAGTGATGAGTCACTAAATTCTACTCCTAAAACCAATACTACATTACATGTTAACTACCTATAATTTAAATAAAATCTTGGAAGAAAATACATAAGTAAAAATGAAGTAATTATGAGTGAAAGAAGACAGACAATAAGCCATATATCCTATATAACTTGATATAAAATTTAGTGAATGCAAATGCATCTAGTTGACAGAAAGTGGATTGGTATCAAAACTTTTCAAGTTACACACTTTAAATAATGCGCAGTTTATTTTATATCACTTTTGCCTCAATAAAGCTGTTTTTCTTTTAAGTACTTATGGCTGTGAACAAATATATATGTGCCTTAAAAAAGAAAAAGGATTTACAGAGGTAAAGCCATTTCCTAAGATTCACCAAATCTAAGCACTTTGGGCTTGAAACAAGGATCAAAATTCCTACTCTAAATTCTCAGCATCAACAATATACTCATTAGTTCTCAACAGAACCACTGAGTGACAGCAAACATTTCACTGATATTAAAGCTCAATAAACACTTTGGTGTGAATTCCCATAAATTTCAACGGCTTGAGTCTTGGGGGGCTACCTCAAAACGGACTTTTCAGTCTTGGATACTGAACAACCAGCAGATATGGCAACAGCAGATACAAAGTAACTTTTAAAAAAACATTGTGAAGTAGGGGCGCCTGGGTGGCTCAGTCGCTTGGGTGTCTGACTTCGACTCAGGCCATGATCTCAGGGTTCATGAGTTGAAGCCCTGCCTTGGGCTCTGTACTGACAGCTTGGAGCCTGGAGCCCGTTTTGAATCCTGTATCTCTATCTCTGCCCCTAACTGACTTCCATTTTGTCTCTGTCTCTCTCAAAAATAAATAGACATTAAAAAATTTAAAATATTGCGAAGTTGTAAAAGGCTTTCTACAAGTTGTTGAAACAGAGGGAAGGAGTTAATATGAATAATGAATCTGATACTTACAGCCCCTTTGCAGTATAGCCGGAGCTTTCCTGTAGGAGTTCGGACAATTATAGACATCCTTTTTCTATTACTAAGACAATATGAAATGCATTATTAGTTTCTGTGTTCCTCAGTGCATGGTGCGAGCATGTGCACACACGCATACACACACACACACACACACACACACACAGTTATAACCATTCATTCTCAGAGTCCTCAGCTGACCATTAGTTGAAAAGGCCAATGTGTTTCTTGCCAGCCCCCATTTCTTTCTTCTTTACCTATTTCTTTAAACTGAGATCTAATATAAATCTCAACCTTCTACAACTACTGTTTCTCAGTTTACCCTTTTCTTCCATGGAAATTCATTAGCAGAAATATATATATATTTTATGTTACTTACATACTGTAATAAGTATAATATATATTATGTTTCATACTATTACTACATCTTATATAGTACATATGTAATATAACATGTATTTGTCATGCACTGTACATATAAGACACAAGTTATGTATACATACAACGTATATAATATAATCACTTAAGGACTGATGAGGAAATAGGAAAGCTACCCCAGTTGTGTATTTTTCACGCCTCAAAACATCTCTATCAAGTAGACCCTCCAGTCCCCACTCTGCTGCACAGAGATATTAAACTGCTGGCTTGAGGGGCGCCTGGGTGGCTCAGTTGGTTAAGCGTCCGACTTCGGCTCAGGTCATGATCTCGCACTCCGTGAGTTTGAGCCCCACATCAAGCTCTGTGCTGACAGTGTGGATCCTGGAGCCTGATTTGGATTCTGTGCCTCCCCCCTCTCTCTCTGCCCTTCCCTACTCATGCTCTGTCTCTCTCCATCTCTCAAAAATGAATAAATGTTAAAAATTTTTTTAATAAATAAATAAATAAATAAACTGCTGGCTTGAGAGGTGCCAGTTATTTTTATGGATAGTTCTGTCTCCACCTCTGGATTTTTTTGTTTTCTTTCTGTTTTTTATGACTTAACTTAAGTAGACAGAACTTAAACTCATTGCTTTCATTCGAGTCAGCAGCCCAAATGGGCTTGAAGACCTCCCCTCTCTGCCTTATCCCTCACCTTGCCAAAGTAAACTGGCCAAAATCACTTTTTTCCCTTTTTCCTTGTCTTGTCATTCCCTGACCTTAACCCTTGGGTCGCTCCATGGCTTAAAATGGCTTTTCAAGAGACCCAAACAAACCACCCGCAAATCAGCACCTTCTCAGAGAATCTTCATATCCCACAATGCTGAGTGCTGCGCAATCCAAGGGGGATCCAGGTGAGTAGCCTACCCCTGAGCACGTGAGCTAGACGGTGTCTCAGGAGGGACAGGGGCTGGCGACTGCTTTAACTACTTAGCTGTTAGAACGCTACTAAGGGCAACGGAGTCGTTTCAGGGTGAGCTAGCTAGGAGCTCATACTTCAGGACAGAAAATGAGACCTCCAGTAGGGAGTGATCATCAGCTACTAAAGGGAAACCTAGAATCAGCACTGAGATACATCTTCTTGTAACATGGTTTTTACAAAGAGCTTTCCTCGAGAGAGGTTGGTAACAACTTTTCTGAGGTTCAAAGCTTATTTTAAAGGAGGTCATTGGCCAACAAGGCTTTAAATCGATTTTAAAAATCACCTGGCTTTGGGAAGAACAAATTATTCCTTTTCTAATTTTCTAGCATTTCCCTTTCTAATTTTTGAGATTCCGCATTAGAAATGCGGAGATGGTCTAAGAGACTGAGACTCTGTGAGTCTTGAAAACAGTGCAATGAAAATAAAATCATCACCAATCTCCTCACAATAGGCTTTGGGGACAAGCCCAGAGTGACTGGATCAGGAGGCCCTCTGAGGTCTAAGAGGAGAGAAGGATCTAGATGCACATGGTCTCCTTTGGGGGAAAAAAAGGAATTACTTCACTGTCTATTTTTAAAGAAATCGTTTTGGGTTTATTTGTAAAAACAATGTCCAGTATTCATCCGTTCATCAAATAACTGTTGAGCACTTACTGGATACCACACTCCACAGAAGGGGACCCATGCCTTCCTGGAACATCGAGTCTAGTTGGCAACACGGTCAATAAGTAATAATCCAGACGTAAAATCTCAATCTGACCCTGACGAGCACTGAGGAGAGGTGTGGGAAGCCCTCTCAGCCACAAAAGGGGATGTGGCCTAATGAGGCCTAAAGAAGTGAGCACCAGGCTCAGATTTAAGGGTTAGTGGAAGCTAACCAGAATTTCATGATTCTGTGTTAAAGCTTTGCTTTAGATTACCAAATCCTAACTGAAGAGTCACGGAAAGAGTCCTGGGGAATACATGAACAAAATGAAAAGGTGGCTTACCTAGAAAACTCCAGGATGTTAAGAATTTCAAATGTGAAGTTCTGTCCCATCTACAGGAAGATAAGACAACATATTCTTACCTGAGGGAAAAAGTACTCACCTTGCAAAAAGGCTCACTCTCCCAATCAGAAACAAGCTCTACCCTACAACTACGAATCTTTTTCAAAATAGAAATTTCCTTACAAACTTGATGAAATGATGGTGCCCTCTTCTGGCAAGAGCACTGTTTGCAAACTGGAGAATATTTACAAAAATGCTTCTCAGATGTAAGGCTGAAACACCTCTTTTCAGTATAAGGTCAGCACTACAAGAAGCACATTATCAACACTCTCATGTTGCCGGGGGTGTGGAGTAAATGAGACCATCAACAGATGGAAATGGAAAAACCAATCAGTCTTTTCATAAAATCACACAGTTCGAATGAAATCCTTTATCCTTAGATAATTTGAAGAGGTAAACATGGAAAGAGAGAGCACGCTATACAATTTTATGCCAATAAAATTTGAACTCGTTTCCAGATTTTTCTGGTTACAGCTTCTTGATGTCCCGTAGCCATGATCAATTCACCAATAAGGCAATGCAGAATTTCAAGTAATTTGAGACTGGTCCATGTGGCAGGTACTATATGGGTATGAGGCTGAATCACTCAGTCCCTTTTGCCAAGGACTGAACGTCTAGTAAATGTCCCTAACCACTGAGTTATTACTAGAAAAACAATTTGTGTGTTGGCCACCATGTTTACATTGCATCAATCCTTCCCCATAATATCAAAGGCTTGTGGTAAGTGGTCATCAAGACAAAACAAGAAATATATATGATATATATATTATATATAAAAAAATGAATACATCAATATAATAACTCATTTCAATTCTTCATAGAAAAAAGTAGTGTATTTCTTGAGGTTCTGAGGATTTTCTTTGGGATAGCTCACTCTTTCTGAGCACTTTCTCTGTGCCAAGCACTAATTCTGATTACTTTACATATATTAACTCACTTAGTCCCCACAAGAACCCTATGACGTGCATACTAAGAAAGCTGGGTGGCTCAGTCAGTTAAGTGTCTGACTTCAGTTCAGGTCATGATCTCACAGCCTATGAGTTTGAGCCTCACGTCGGGCTCTGTGCTGACAGCTCAGAGCCTGGAGCCTGCTTTGCATTCTATGTCTCCCTCTCTCTCTGCCCCTTCCCGACTGTTCTCTGTTTCTCTCTCTCAACAATAAATAAACCATAAAAAGTTTTTTTAAAAAGACTGGGGTAGACACAGAAGTTAAGGAACACACTTGAGAAACAGGGCTGGGAAGGTGTGGGTCCAGGTGAGAATCCCAGGTACTGTGACCCCAGAGCTCCCCAACTCAGCTACTCTACTGTGTCCTTCTGGAAGGGGCATGTACATCATGAGAACATAAGATGCTACTCACAGCTTCTATGGTGACAGAGGATGGCGTTCTTGTAGTAAAAACAAAGCCAAATTTCTTCACTCCTTTCACTAAAGCTGCTTCATCTACCAATAAAAAGTCTGTATTAGTGGAGGTTGAATGAAGATATTAACACTGAATTAAATTTAATACAGATTTCCATTCTCCAACACTAAAATACCATGACATTTTTTTTAACTTGGCTTTTTTTTTTTTTTTTTAGATCCAAATGCACTTATCTAAGTACCAGATAGTGTTCATGAAAGAGGAAACCTGGTTAAATAGACCCCTTTCGGTGAGGTGGAGATATATTTACCAGCCCAAATTCCTTTTTTAGTACTCAGTATGGTTTTGTTCTACAAGCCACTCATAGGAATCGCCACAAAATGGCGCTGCGCCTCAACCTTGCTCCTGCCTTGTTACTGATTATACCTAAATGTTCTACTGAGCCCTGGCTCAAAGAGCCCTCCCCACCAACCTCCTGATGGTAATTTTTGGGGGGGGGGCATTGTAGGGGACAGGAACCCCAGAGCTGCAGCGTGGCTCAAAGCTGCCCAGCACCATCAGTGCCCCTGGCCCATAAGGATGCCTAAGAAGGAGCAACACAGGAGCCATGGGGGGGGGGGTGTGTGTGTCAGGGGGTCAGTGGCAGCACCACATCTTCTCTGGGCTCATCACCCACCAGGTGCTCGGGGAACGCGCAGCACCTACCTGGGGAGGAAGCCTGGTAGATTATGTCATCTCCATCTCTCTCCGGAACAACGGTGTGACACACACATAACAGGGTAAGAAACTCCTTTATGTAATCTTTTGTGGGCTACAAAAGAGGCGCAGAGCTAGTGAGTGGCTTCCAACACCAATGACACAAGAGTTAGATTCAGTCTGCAGTTACCTTCAACTGTGGTTTTCACCTCGGCTACATGGAGGCTCAGGCGCTGACGGAAAACAGTTTCAGGCATTTAATGTGTGTTTGCTGAGTGGCTGCCAATGCAGGGACAGAGTGGGGCTGGGGGGTCTCGGGAACCAGAGTCCCCTCCTCTATTGGAGCTTCTGTCCTCACTGGGGAAACGGGTTTTCTCAAGGCTGGAGGAGACACGCAGGGGTCGTCACACAGAAAGGAGGGGCGTATGTTAGGTAGGTGACCCAGCGGGAAAAATTTGATGAGATAGTATCAAAGATAAGACCTCAGTGGAAAAGTGAGTTAGCTCTGTTTGTTGTCATGTGACTGTGGCACATAGGAGACAAAGGAAGAGCTCTTTTTTTTATTTTAATTTTTTAAATGTTTTATTTATTTCTAGGAGAGAGAGAGAGACGGCGTGAGCAGGGGAGGGTCAGAGAGAGAGGGAGACACAGACTCTGAAACAGGCTCCAGGCTCTGAGCTGGCCGTCAGCACAGAGCCCGACGCTGGGCTCGAACCCACAAACCGCGAGGTCACGACCTAAGCGAAAGTCGGACGCTTAACCGACTAAGCCACCCAGGCGCCTCAAGGAAGAGCGCTTTCAAAGGCCCCAAGTCAGGAAACAGATTCACGGGTTTGCGCACGTCGAGTTTGTGCGACTCTAGCGTCTTGAGCAAGAGGAACAATGACACAGAATGAAGTTGGAGAGAAAGCCACAGGGATAAGCTGGGATTTTTATCTTGAGTGGGGTGCCAGTCCTCTGAAGGTTTTAAAGCAAGGGAAGGACACATACAGATCTGTGTTTTAAAAGACCACTTCCAGTTTTGATGGGGCGCCTGGGTAGCTCGGTCAAACGTCCGACTCTTGGTTTTGGTTCAGGTCATGATTTCACGGTTTGTGAGTTCAAGCCCCATATTGGGCTCCGTGCTGATGGTGCAGAGCCTGCTTGTGATTCTCGCTCTCCCTCTCTCTCTGCCCGGCTCATGCTCTCTCTCTCTCTTTCAACAATAAATAAACTTTAAAATAAAAGATCACTTTTATTTTTGAGAAGACCAAGATTTCAAATCAAGTAGATCAATATTTTGAAATTGATAAGTGAAGATATTGGTAACATACAGTAGAACCAATGGCCTAAAAGCATTTAGAAATTTTCTTACACAGATTGCTGCATAGTAAAATGTTCTTGAATAATATTTGGATTCATTCACACCAGTTAGCTTGGCACTTCCCTGATAACATCAGTACGGAATCTGATGGTGACTATATTAACATCAAAAAAATTGCCAGGGGCACCTGGGTGGCGCAGTCCATTGGGCATCAGACTTCAGCTCAGGTCATGATCTCATGGTTCATGAGTTCGAGCCCCTCGTCAGGCTCTATGCTGAGAGCTCAGAGCCTGGAGCCTGCTTCTTTGTCTCCCTCTCTGTCTCTGCCCCTCCCCTGCTCAAGTTCTGTCTCTCTCACGAAAATGAATAAACATTAAAAAAAATTTTTTTTTTAATTTCAAGACTCTCTCTTTCCTGGCTCAGCAAATTATACCTTTTAATAAACCATATGTATGTCTTAAAGTTCTGTAGCATTACCCTGTTGACCTGGAGTGAAAATAACAGACTTACATGGTCACTCTCAAAGTTCTGCAGTAACATTGGGTCACTGAATCCACTGGTTTCTGTGATGGTAGAGGGTGACACACTGGGGAGGAACAGAGGAGGTTTGCAGTAATTAAAAGTTCCTGATGGAGCCAGTCAACAGTCAAATGGTCCTAAAGTGAACACATAGCCCCGCCTTCCGATTTCACGAAGTTACACTATAAAGTCTACAGAACTACCACTGACGCTTGAGCAACATGGGTATGGACTGTGTGGATCCACTTATGCACAGATTTTTCTCATACAATATGGTAAATGTATTTTGTCTTCCTTGAAATTTTCTTAATAACATTTTCTTTTTTCTAGTTTTATTTTAAGAGTACAGTATATAATATGTACAGTGTATAATAATGTACAAAATATGTTGATCGACTGTTTATATTATTGGTAAGGCTTCTGTCCAACAGCAGTCTCTTAGTAGTTAATTGGGGGGTTAAAAGCTATATGTGGATTTTCAACTGCATGGGAAGGGTCGGCATCCCTAACCCCTGTGTTGTTCATGGGTGAGCTGTATAGTAAATATTTAAGGTTCTGTCAAATTATACATCCTCTCCGACCTCAAGTTGCAAAATGGCATTAGGAAATGCCTAAATATGTGTGGAAAACCATGGAATTATACAGAGTTTAAGACAGAGTAACCATAAAAGCAATAAATCAAAGTCTGGATTCTGGGTTCTTTGAAGAGCACATGGGAAGGAAAGATCTATCCAGGGGAGGTTTCTGAGAACTGCCTTTGGAGTTCCAGACAAGGGACAGTGGTGTTACTATATCTCAGAACTCGGGGACTGGTAAAAAGTCCCTCACAGGGGAAAAGGAACATGTGCAAAGTAGAAAAGAATGTTGTCTAGTTACCTTAGGTTGTCCAAAATGGTGTCACTTCTGTTTGACAGATTTCTGAGGGAAAATGAGGGAGGAAATAGAATGGTTATAAGACTATAAACATAAAAAACTTTAGGAATTCTAACCACATAAAAAAAAGCACATATAAACCATAGTTTTTAACAACTGCGAGGTTTCATTTAGGTTATATTAAGTTTCAATCTCATTCAGATGTAGCTAAGTTATTGGAAATTCATTTATGTTTTGAAGTAAATAAAGGCTTATTAATTTGTTAAGAAAAAAAATGAGAATTTTCAACAGAGTATGGCAAAAAGAAAAAAAAAACACTTACCCATAAATTATGCCTGCAATGGTACACTTCTTCAGTGTCATAATATTGCAAGTGAGCGTTCCTGTTTTATCAGAAAATAAATATTCCACCTAAACAAATCAAACATGATAAACAATGTAAATATAAAAATTAAGACCAAAGACCAATTTAAGTTCTTTTTCTTTAAATCCTCAAAATATCTGAGCTTTTAGGAAACAAGGAGTTCAGCCTACAAGAAATCTGCTTTAATATTTATACTTCCTTCGGGGATTCTCTTTGTTTTACACTGCAGGTGAAATTCTATATTAATATGCAAGTTGATTTCAAGCTGTCAAACCTAAGAAAATCAGAAGTCCAAGTTCTTTTTCTTGCCACAAGAAATCTCATCAAAGGTTTCTAGAAAACATTAAATGGATAGACACACACACACACACACACACACACACACACACACCCCAAAATCAGATAAAGACATTACAGAAAAAAAATGACAGGCCAATATTCCTAATAAACATAGATGCAAAAATACTCAACAAAATACTAGCAAATCAAATTCAACAGTACATTGTAAAGATCACACAACATCATCAAGTGGAATTTATTCCAACAATAAAAGAATAGTTAAACAATCAATGTGATATACCACATCAATAAAATAAGGGATAAAAATAATAAACCATCTCAAAAGATGTAGAAAAAGCATTTAACAAAATTCAACACCCATTTATGATAAAAATTCTCAGTGAAGTGGGGTAAAGGAAGCAAACCTCAACATAATAAAGGCCAATATGATAAGCCTGCAGCTAACACCAATGGTCAATGGTGAGAAGCTGAAAGCTTCTCCCCTAAGATCAGGAAAAAGAAAGGGTACCCACCGTCTCCACTTTATTCAATATGGCATTGGAAATCCTGGCCAGAACAATCAGGCAGTTAAAGTAAAAGGCATCCAAATTAAAAAGGAAAAAGGAAAACTGTCACTATTTGCAGATGACATTTTATATACAGAAAACCCTAAAGACCACACCAAAAACTTCTTAGAATTAATGGACTCAGTAAAGCTACAGGATACAAAGTCAACATGTGGAAATCTATTGTATGTCTATACATCAATAATGACTATTAGAAAAAGAGAAATTAACAATTTCATTTACAATTGCATGAAAAAGAATAAAATAGCTAGGAATAAATTTAATCAAGGAGGTGAAAAACCTATATGCTAATCAAAGAGATTGAAGAAAACACAAATAAATAGAAAGATATTCCACACTCATGCACTGGAGAAATTAACACTGTTAAAACGTCCACACTATGCAAGCCAACTATAGATGCAATGTAATCCCTATCAAGATTCCAATGGCATTTTTCACAGATTTAGAACAAATAATCCTAAAATGTGTATGCGACCACAACCCCAAATAACCAAAGCAATCTTGAGAAAGAAGAACAAAGTTGGAGGTATCATGCTTCCTGACTTCAAACTGTATTACAAAGTTATAGAAATCCAAACAGTATGGTATTGGCCTAAAAACAGACACAGGGGTTAATGGAACAGAATAAACAGCTCAGAAATAACCAATGCACATGTTCATTTAATTTATAACAAAGGAGTCAAAAATATGCAATAGGGAAAGGACAGTCTCTTCAATAAATAAATGACAATCTTGTCAATAAACTGGACACTGACATGCAACAGAATGAAGCTGGACCACTTTCTTATACTATATACAAAATTAACTAAAGATGGACTAAAGCCCTGGATACAAGACCTAAAACCATAAAACTCCTAGAAGAAAACACAGGTAGCAAGCCCTCTGACACCAGTCTTGGTGATGATTTTGGGGATTTGACACTAAAAACCAAGGTAACAAAAGCAAAAATAAATAAGTGGGACTACATCAAATTAAAAAGCTTCTGCACAGCAAAGGAAACCATCAACAAAATGAAAAGGTAACACAACAGATAAGAGAAAATATTTGCAAAGCACATATTTGATGAAGGGCATTAATAAAGAACTCCTGCAACTCAATAGCAAAATAATAATCCAATTTTTAAAATAAGGAGAAGGTCTCTATAGATGGTTTTTCAAAGAAGACATCCAGATGACCAACAGACACATGAAAAGATACTCAACATCACTCATCATTGGGAAATGCAAATCAAACCATAATGAGATATCACTTCACACCTGTTAGAATGGTTATTACCAAAACATAAGTGTTGGCAAGGATGTGGAGGAAAGGGATTCTTGTGCGCTGCTGGTGGGAATATAAGTTGGGGCAACCACTATGGAAAACAGCATGGAAGCTTGTCAAAAAATTACAAACAGAACTTCCATATGATCCAGCAAGTTCACTTCTGGGTATTTATTTGAAGAAAATGAAAACACTAACTCAAAAAGATAGATACATCCCCAGGCTACTGGCAGCATTAACTACAATAGCCCAGATGAAACAACCTCAGTGTTTGTCAATGGATGAATGGATAAAGAAAATGTGGTATATGTGTAATACAGTAATACATAATTACACACACACTTCAGCCATTAAAAAGAAGGAAATCTTGCCGTCTGCACAACATGAAAGGACTTTGAGGGTGTTATGTTATGTGAAATAAGTCAGACGAAGAAAGACAAATGCCACATGATTCACTTACTTGGGCAATCTAAACAAGAAAAATAACTAAACTCACTGCTACAGAGAACAGATTGTCAGAGGCAGGGAGTGGTGGGTGAGCCAAATGAGTGAAGGGGGTCAAAAGGTAGAAACTTCCAGTTAGAAAATAAATGAATCCTGAGGAGGTCATGTATAGCATGGTGATTGTAGCTAATGTTACTATACTGCAGGTTCAGGAAATAGAATACTGTATTACATGTTCAAAAGCTGCCAGGAGGGTAGATCTTAAAAATTCTTATCACCAGAACTCTGTAACTATGTATAGTGACAGATGTTAAGTAGACTTAACACGATGATCATTTTGTAATGTATTATGTGGTATACCTGAAACTAATATATCTGTCAGTTATACTCAATAAAAAGAGGAAAAGATGGAACAAAAGGAAAAAATGTTAAACCATTTTTTATTATCATGGTAAAGTGTGTTTAGATAAAATTTACCATTTTCACCATTTTTAAGTGTTATTGGACACATTCACATAGTTTTGTGACCATCACCGCCATCCATCTCCAGAAGGTTTTTATCATTCCCAACTGTCAACAGAAAAACATACGTTCTAAAGGATTAGGAAATAATCAGGTTTTCATGAGCAGTAAAGTTGCTAGAAGACGGATTATTCCATTGCCCTTCATCTTTAGTTGTCCAAGGTAAAAAGGCTACTAATGGTGTTCTCAGATCAGACATTTCCAGGAGCCAGAAATACTCTGAAATAAACATTTACTGGGAACTCACTCTTCAAATGATACTGTGGTATCTAACTATGGTCACTAACTGTGACCATCAGTTAGAAATCACATATACTAATTACTGGTTATAATTATTAGCATTAAATCCCTTCTTCACACCGGGTACTGTGCTGAGTGTGTTACAAACACATCATCTTATTCAGTCCTCCTCACAAGCTTCTGAAGTAGATGCTATTGTCGTGCCCGAATTACAGATGAGGAGTCAAGGCCAGCAAAATTCCCTAAGAAGCCCATGATGACACTGCTGGTAAAGAGTCAGACCAGGGTTTGCTCCCAGGAAGTTTAACTCCAAAATTCTGCTTTTTACCATAATTTACATATTGCGTCCAATTAATTGAAAGATGGGATCTTATAATATCGTTTAAAAAAAACATTAAGAACAAAAATAATTACCAAAAAATGCCAATCAGAAGTCTCCATCCTTTCAGGTAACGTATGACTGTGGAAATCGGGTGGATTTTCCCAGGTGCCCTGAGGTGTAACTGACAAATAACTGTAGGGGATTTTGAAAACAATTTCTACCAAAAATAAATAAATAAATAAATAAATAAATACTAAAATAAAATAAAATAAAAACAATTTCTACTTGTAAAGCTGCCACTGTCATTTAGAAGGCAACCAACCATCCGTTGGTAACCTGGCATCATTCTTCTCCTTTCTACTGTGCTGTAGGGACTAGCGGCCTGAGGGTACATTTCTCCCAATCTCCCAGGATTCCTGTTTAGATGCTACCATCGGAAGGAACTTGTAGTTAAGAATTACGAGCTGTATTATGGCCCTGTTGGCAGCTGTGGGCAGATACACGGGTTAGACAGGTGTGAAATTTTGCAGCAGGTTCCAGATGCTTCCCTCTGGGTCATCTGCCTTAGGGAAGCAGGTGCATGGCCACCAGAGGCACATCCCCAGGCTCTTGTGACTCCCTGAAAGCCAACCGAAAATGAGAGCCAACCGAAGCTTTCGCCAGCTGCCTCTCCAACTCGTCCACTCTTTCATAAGCACATTAGTGACCTGTATTAGGTCTGTTCGACTTGCAACCCATGATGTATTATCAACTAATTATACTTTTGAAGCTCCGTAGCGCATCAACTACAGCCTACGGCTGAATCTGGCACTTTAACTTTGCACACGCTCTCCCTAGATCCACTTTCTTCAAAGTTCCTGTCGCATACCCAGGCCCTGAAGGGACCCTCACCTGCCCAAGCTCTTCGTTAAGATTGGACGTTCTGGCCATGGCATAGACATTATTTCCTTTATAATGCATGTCTTCATCCTGCAAGAAATGAATAAAATGGTCAAGCCACACAGCACGAGGCTCAAAATGTCCGTAGGTCAACCGTACAGCCACTGGTCTTCTGACATGGCTGACATCAGAAAGAATTCAAAATGGAGAGTCTGAAATACTTAGAGAGTCTTGGGTGCTAGTTTCTCACATACTTTGGCAGAGCTGATTCAGGAGAGGCAACGCTACATAGAAACAAATATCAGCGTGTCGTTGGTTTGGTATTGGAAGACCTTGGCTTCCAGATCCTGGCTCTGCCTCAGACACTCCCAGAGAGCAGACACTCCCTCAGACACTCCAAGAGAGCAGGCTTCGCAGCTAATACATCTATACAACGGGGGCAAGAACACGGACCTCCAGGCACTACTGTGAAAATTGTATGAGGATACGTTTAAAATTTTTTTAATGTTTTTTTATTTATATCTAGGAGAGAGAGAGAGAGAGAGAGAGACAGCATGAGCAGGGGAGGGTCAGAGAGAGAGGGAGTCACAGACTGAAACAGGCTCCAGGCTCTGAGCTGGCAGTCAGCACAGAGCCCGACGCGGGGCTCAAACCCACGAACCACGAGATCACGACCTAAGCGAAAGTCGGCGCTTAACCAAGCCACCCAGGCGCCCCTGTATGAGGATACGTTTAAAAGCACTGTCTCATTTCGTGGTTGTTAAAGATAACACAACCCTTCGAGAGATGGTAATTCATTGATACATGGAAATCATTTTAGTGTGACAATAAGCAAAAAGTTTTATTTCCACAAAAAAACTTTTAAATATAACTAAAAAAATGCAAACACACAAATTAGAAAACTTATTCAGTCACACGATACTAAGCGTTCATTTAAGTAAATGCATGGTTTTCACCGAAGAAATTGTTTCCTTAATTTGAAGTGATTCTGGAATGGCTGTTTCCGCCACTCTTGCCAAGATATGTAAATCTACTGTAAGTCTTCTGGACTCCTTTCCTACGGTATCTTAAATTTCAATGGGCTGTCTCTTTACAGTTGCTACTAAGTCACTAGCACTTAAATATATCTTATCAGCTAGAAAAAATATATTAAAAAACAGTATCCTCAAGAGGGACACAGAGAGGCCCAGGCACCACTGGGTCTGGCTGCCACCGGTGTTTGGCTCTCCTGTCGGGAATGCAGCTGGCCCTGGACACCAGCGCCATTGTAGCAACACAGGTTCGCAGACTCCTAAAACCAAAGGCACAGGTCAAGACTGATTTTCATACTCACCCAGTTTATAAACAGGGCCTGAATGTACTTCACAATCTCCAGAGTGACCAGCAGGCTGATGGGGATGAGATTGTGATACAAGATGATGAACACCAATATGTCAAACCCTAGGCCGTGGGAGCTGCTCTCTGTGAAGAAGGTCAGAGGAACCATGTCACGGCTGTAGGCAACGCCTTCATTCACCTTTGTTTGCACGGTTACTTTTTTAAATTGTGACAATTTCTCCATGAAAATTAGTATTAAGAGTATGATTCAATGGATACACAAAAATAGTTTTAATTTTTTTAATATAATCTGTCAAATTGATTTCCGAGCACTTATTCCAACAAGTGCCCTCCTCCATGCCCATCACCCACTTCCCTCTCACTCATCCCCCATCCATCCTCAGTTTGTTCTCTGTATTTAAGAGCCTCTTGTGGTTTGCCTCCCTCCCTCTCTGTTTGTAACTATCTTCCCCCCTTCCTTCTCCCACAGACTTAGGTTAGGTTTCTCAACATCCACATACAAATGAAAACACAGGATATCTGTCCTTCTCTGCCTGACTTATTTCACTCAGCATAATACCCCCAAGGTCCATCCATGTTGCTACACATGGCCAGATTTCATTCTTTCTCATTGCCAAGTAGTATTCCACTGTATATGTCAACCACATCTTCTTGATCCATTCGTCCGTTGATGGACACTTAGGCTCTCTCCATGTTTTGGCTATTGTTGAGAGTGCTGCTATGTACATTGGGGTACATGTGCCCCTATGCATCAGCATTTCTATATCCCTTGGGTAAATTCCTAGCAGTGCTATTGCTGGGTCATAGGGGGGTTCTATTGCTCATTTTTGGAGGAACCTCAAAAAATTTTCCAGAGGGGCTGCACCAGTTTGCATTCCCACCAACAGAGCAAGAGGGCTCCCGTTTCTCCACATCCTCGCCAGCATCTAGAGTCTCCTGATTTGTTCATTTGAGCCACTCTGACCGGCGTGAGGTGGTATCTCAGTATGGCTTTGATCTGTATTTCCCTGATGAGGAGGGACGCCGAGCATCGTTTCGTGTGTCTGTTGGCCACCTGGAGTTTTAAGTCTCAGTTAAGCACCAACACTGTAATAGGGTGTGTTAGGAGCATCAAGACACAAGATCTAGTAAGAGACAGAGCCTGCTCTCCGGAGCTCTGGAAGCAGCCTGAGAAAGTAAGATGTGTCAGTAATTATGACACAATGAATTCCAGGATAACGCTGAACACGAAGAGTGGCAACAACACAAAACAGAGGGTCCAGAAAGAGGGTGCACAAAAGAAGGTGTGCCAAGCTGTGAGGCAGGGAGCTTGACCCATGGAGATGAAGGGAGGAACAGGAGGAGGCCATTTTCTTTAGCTGGAAGTACGTGGCTTGAAGACAAGGAAATAATTAATGATTTTTTTTAAACTCAGGAAAAGAAGGAAAGTGAAGCCCAAAGGAAAAGAAAAAAAAAACAAGTATCATACTTTGTAAAACCTAGTGATGTACAAATTTTTAAAGAGGTAGGTGTGTTTGAGAGAGTGATTTTCCAATACAAATTCAATCTAAATTCACAGACGTTTACGGAAAAATATCTAGAAAGTATTCAGGGGACATATACATATACTGCTTTATATAGGTCTTTCTGAAAACTGACATTTCGATCTTACATATTAAATTGATATGTTGAGTTAGAACTGAAAAGAACTAAACAAACTGATTTGTAAAGCTTAATTAAACACAAATATGTATATAGAGAGATCAAATTTAAATAATAATTTTAAGTTAAAATTTTATATTCATTTTTCCTAAAAGGGGGCAACCTGTAACTTAGAAAAATCATAGCTAAATCTAGATTTCTAAATTCCATCAACCTGTAAGTTTTTTTTTTTTAATTTTTTTTTAATGTTTTTTATCTATTTCTAGGAGAGAGAGAGAGAGAGACAGCGTGAGCAGGGGAGGGTCAGAGAGAGAGGGAGTCACAGACTGAAACAGGCTCCAGGCTCTGAGCTGGCAGTCAGCACAGAGCCCGACACGGGGCTCGAACCCACGAACCGCGAGATCATGACCTAAGCGAAAGTCGGACGCTTAACCAACTAAGCCACCCAGGCGCCCCAACCTGTAAGTCAAGTTTAACTCACTATCATATCGATTCGAGTTCTTATCACCTTGAGTTTACTAACTTTCCCTTATTTGCCATGATTACACTTTTACACTTACTATAGTACATGTAAAAAGGGTCATAAATCATTCTTTTAGGAAAACTAGAGGCAGATAATATTAGGACCAGTTTTTGGACAGAGAAGTTGAGACAAGATCTTTAGTGCTTTGCTAAATTTACTCATTACTGAAAATGCAGTTACACTTTACCCCATACCTTTTTCTTCTTTTGGACTAGAATATCTTGGGCAGAGTGGTGTAGTCCAGAGCCGATAATGGATTCTTATTCCAAAGAAGCCAGTAATTTCCTCTGTGCTTTTTGGTAAATATACAGAATCTATTTCACTTTCACGAAACAAGGGGCTGGACCTGAAAACTACAGAGATCTGCTTCTAAATATAAAAATGATTTCTTTTCGTCAAAAAATTAATTACTGAGTTCCTATTATGAAAAGGCATTGTTCTTGGAGTTAAAGATACAATGACTCCTGTCCTCAAAAATTCACAATCTAGCTGGGAGGAGGGGCAAACGATCATATAAAACATGGAAATGGAATGATATCGATGAAAGACATCATTATAGAAGCCAAAGAGGGCTCCTGACTAAATTAAGAGAGGGAGATAAGATACAGGAAATGCTATTGGAGAAGGTAATGCCTCATCGGGGACTGAAGTGAGAAGTGACAGGTATCCAGTCAAGAAGAGACCAGAGGTGCATCTGAGGCAGAAGGAACACGAGACAAAAGGCCTAGAGATGCTGAAGCAACTGGTGGATGGAAGGATGATGAAAGAGGTCAGTCTTCTGTGAAAGGAGACTAGGTGCTCAGGGAGAAGTGGGGAGCTATCAGGTGACAGAGACAGGACTGGATTACAAAAGTCTCGAGGTGCCGGGCTAAAGGAGATTTTTCTTGGCCCTGTAGGCCAGGGATCAGAACACTTTCTCTAACAGCCAGAGGATAAATAATTTAGGTTTTGCAAGTCTCTGTTCCAACTACCCAGCTCTGCTGTTGTAGCACCAGAAGTAATCACATGTAGGGGCATCTGGGTTGCTCGGTCGGTTAAGTGTCCAACTTCAGCCCAGGTCATGATCTCCCGGTTTGTGAGTTTGAGCCCCGCATTGGGCTCTGTGTTGACAACTTGGAGCCTGGAGCCTGTTTCAGATTCTGTGCCTCTCTCTCTCCCTGTCCATCTCCTGCTCACGATCTGTCTGTCTCTCAAAAATATATATAAACGTTAAAAAAATTTTTTTAAAGAAAGAAAGCAATCACATGTAATACATCAACAAGTAAGTATGGCTGTGCTCTGATAAAACTTTATTTACAAAAACAAGCAGTGGGCCATCGGGCAGTAGTCCACCAAGCCAGTGTAGACAACAGGATATGGTGAAGCTACTGCATGTATTCATTACTACTTTTTGAATGCATCTTTCTGGAAACTGTATGAATGAAAGAATCTGAGTGGAACTTGACTGAGGGCTGGGCAACAGTGGAGAACTGTGACAGTGGTTCAGGGATGAAAAAGAGACTGTGTACAGACAAAATACTGAAAAGGTGGAATAAACAAGACTTTGGAACTGATTGGATGATGAAGGCCCATGGGGGCAGAAGTGGGGAAGAGAGGAGGAAGCGAAGAGGGGTAAGAGTGACCTTATGGCTGCAGCTTGGATGAAGGTCGGATAGCAATACTTACAATTTACATGGAGAATACTGAAAAAAAGACACTGGTTGGGAGGGGGGACCCTTGAATTTAGTGTTGTACATGCTGAGGTAAGAGGTCTGCAAGATACCTGGAAAGCAATGTCCAGGCACCAACGAATTAATAATTCATAGAGACATCTGGGCTAGAGGCAAGCAGGCAGAAGAGAAATCAACTGATGGATGACAATTGGAATTATTAGAGCAAATGAGCTCTCTTAGATTTTCTTGGATAAGAAAGTTCCTAAGAAGCTGGTGAAGGCCCTCCTACAGGGAAAAAAAAAACAAAAAACAAAAAACATGCACACATAAATATATGAATACAATTTTCACAGAAATTTCAGGGTCTATGGACCAAAGTTGAGGCATTCCTGGTGAATGCAGGGTCCTGAAAAATACCAGCATTTAAGAGGTGGTTCAAGGTTTCCATGAATCAAATAGGGAAGAGATGGGGTTTCTTGTTTTGTTTTGTTTTGTTTTTTAATCAGAAGAGGGTGGGGTGCCTGGGTGGCTCAGTCTGTTAAGCTTCTGGTTCTTGGTTTCTGCTTAGGTCACCATCTCACAGTTCATGAGTTCAAGCCCTGCAGCAGGCTCTGTGCTAACAGTACGGAGCCTGCTTGGGATTCTCTCTCCCTCTCTCTCTCTGCCGTTCCCTGCTTGCTCTCTCCATCTCTCAAAATAAATAAATAAACTTTAATTAAAAATCAAAAGAGGGTGACAGAAGTCCAATTAAATTCCACTTAAAAAACGACCACTGGGGGGCGCCTGGGTGGCTTAGTCGGTTAAGCGTCCGACTTTCGCTTAGGTCAAGATCTCGCGGTTCGTGGGTTCGAGCCCCGCGTCGGGCTCTGTGCTGGCTGCCAGCTCGGAGCCTGGAGCCTGTTTCGGAGTCTGTGACTCCCTCTCTCTCTGACCCTCCCTTGCTCATGCTGTCTCTCTCTCCTAGAAATAAATAAAAATATTTAAAAAAAAAAAAAAAAAAAACGACCACTGGGTTTGGCAATTAGGAATTGATTCCTAACCTTGAGCCACAATTCCAGTAGACTGGTTGAAATGGATAACAGATGGAAAGGGACCCAAGAGGGACCAGGAGGTAAGAAAAGAGAAACAGTGAGGGCTGTGTCTCAAGAAGTCTGACACTGAAGGGAAGAAAAGGTCATTTGTAGGGTATGCAGAATTTGACACGTTTTATCAACATCAAAATGTCAGTGACTTCTGTAAGAATTTATGTCTGTTTCAAAATAAGATAATATTCACAGTCTTGGGCTAGGGTAAATTAAAGAAGCACATTAAGTTGAGATTGCTTTTTTGAAATCACTGAAAATCTTAAAGCTTAAGATAAAAACTGGACACATAATATCTAGAAGCCCAGGCTGCATAGGAATGAATCCTTAATTTTTTGATCCAACCTACAAAGTCTTAGCTTCCTTATTTTTAAGATGCTCCCAGACAGATCTGCTTAAGGGACATTAGAACAATTTGAAAACCTCAGTTGATAGATGAGAAAAGGAGAAACATATATGGTGGTTAACTGTGAAAACATGGAAAGACACAAGCAAAAAAAAAAAAAAGACTGAACTTTTAATGGCCAAGTATCAGTTTATCTTTAAATCTTTTACCAACCTTCTGGTCAATTTAACAATGGAATCCCCTTCAGGGACCCCTGTCCTCATTTTGGGGGCATCATTCCTTGTATACAGAGCACGGTACTAACCCCGTAAGGTGGGTATGATCCCCATTTTCAAATGAGAGAAGCATTGCTCTGAGAAGTCCAAAGCCTTGTCCAAGTTCTCCAGGTGGCTAAGTGACAGAGCCAAGGACGTAGGCCCTGCGTGCCCATCTCACAGTCTCATTCCTCTGCCTTGGCCCCCTCTTCTCCCCTTTATTCAGGAATGCCAAGATGATGTGGCACCCACAGAAACATCTTAAGAAGGAAACGTTCTGTTTCTAAAACTCACTAATCCTCAGGGTCCCAAAACGCAACAACAAACAATGACAAAACACTACCAGTTAGAACGAGGGCCTTCCCTCTCAAATAAAAACATGGCAACAAGTGTTTAAAGTCCCTCTAAAAGCATTACGATTCCTCAGACGGTAGCTTCTCGACACCCTCGGACACTTACCCTTCATCCCGATGTACCAAATGTCTCCTCCATGCCCTTCCTTCCAGAGTATGGCTCCCACATAGCTCACCAAGGACATGGCCAGGAGCAGCAAAAACAGCAGAAGGATTTGCACGTTGGTCACCTTCTCAACAGTCGATCTCTTGAGGGGCAGTTTGATGGAATTCTGTGCCACAGCACACGTACGCACACCGAGGATGAAAACCAAAGGAAGTAGAACGCGTGCGTGTTATTTGTGGTAAGAGGAGGTCGCAAATCCCAGCAGGTGGGAAGGAGAATATGGTTCGGCCACGTAACTATCGACCCTGAAAGGGTGCCATGTTGTTGATGACATGGCTTCCCACTCCAGTCCTCGGAGCGTTGTTTACTTATTCCCAGAGGACATGTTCACACAGATCCACCACCCCACGGTTCTAGGGGTTTTAAAAAATCAAATGTGGTAAATCAGACAGTCTAGGTGATCTTCTGTACAGATTTCTAAAAAGACTGTACTAATTTCTTGGCTTTAGTACTTATAGTTATTGAATTATTTCTGATTTGAAAACCATGGAAAGGTACCTCTCATCTGAGTCTGCTGGGGAAGTATTCTAGATTTTTACCAGTACAGGGGCACCCACATGGCTCAGTCAGTTAAGGGTCCAACCTCAGCTCAGGTCTCATCTTGTGGTTTTCACGGGTTTGAGTCCCACGTCAGGGTCTGTGCTGACAGCTCAGAGTGTGGAGCCTGCTTCAAATTCTGTGTCTCCCTCTCTCTCTGTCCCTCCGCCCGCTCCACACACACACACACTCTCTCTCTTTCTCAAAAATAAACATTGAAAAAAATTTTTAAAAAGATTTTACCAGTCCAATAACTATTCTAATACATGTATATTTTAGGAAACCAAAGCTCTGGGTTAGGGATACAGTGAAAGCTTCAAATAATAACTTTCTATTAACATTTCAGATTTGCCCATATATTTCTGATAACTGTCTGCATAGGTCTATTAAAATACTGGCAAATGTATGTATATTTAACCGTTTTTATATATAACATATATAACTGGCAAGCATATAGATACTTACAGATATAGATATTTAACTTTTCAATCATACTTTGCCAGAATAAATTTACCATTTCCACATATTTTCTTTTTAAGTAGGCTTCACACCCAGCACAGAGCCCAACAAGGGGCTTGAACTCTCAACCCCGAGATCAAGACCTGAGCTGAGATCAATAGTCAGACACTTAACTGACTGAGCCACCCGGGTACCCCTACATTTTTTTTCAGTGTGGAAGCATAAATCTTCAAACTCTGAAAATTATGAAAATATGAGTTAGTAATCTAAATTACTCAGCTCTTTTACAAAGCACAGGAATAAAAATTGAAATCCTAGTTTTAACTGCATTAAGTATATTATTAGAGAATGTCTGTGCATATATGTGTACATATTATAATTTATATAATATATACACTTATGTATAATATCTCCAAAGCAATAATGTCATACCTTCTCTTTTGTTAACCGGTACCAGCAATGTCTTCAAATGTTATACAACATAGAATAGTTTTCAGCTAAGTGTGTTGTGCTTAAAATCTTTCAGTAAGGAAATATTTACGTTTACTAGTTCTTTCTTTCCTAACGTCATGAAAAAGCCCACGTGGAGATTTTTTGTTATTCTGACATGAAGCCCACAAAGTAACGTGACAGAGAAGGATGCACTTTCTTGTGAGCTGCTGCACAGAGGAGCCACTATCCCCGGGGCGGGGCCCAGGGAGGTGGGACAATGGAGTAGCCTCCTTAAATTAACAGTAGACATTTAAATCTGAGCTGCAGTGTTGTGTTAGCAGGTATACAATTACGCCATACAGCATGATCATTTGAAGACCGCTGAAGTCAGAAACGTGACGTGTGTGAGTTGTGCATCTTACAGTGGAATCACGGGTCCAGTGATTATGTGGGTCCTGTGTTGCTCTTGGTTCACGGTCCAAATACAAACTCTTGTCTGTGGATAGGCCGTGTTTCTATCGCTGTCTTAGATCGGGGTTTTTAGTATACAGAGTGTAAGGAACACTTACACATGAATGCACTACTGCTGGCTGCAATCCCAGGGCAGGAAGAATGAGAGGAAAAAGAAACATGAGACAAGAAATCAGGAAGCAGAGAGTGGAAGGTTACTGACCAGTCATAGTTTTGTAAGAAAATGTGTTCAGCTCCTCAGTCACAAGCGCCCCAACTTTCCTTAAACTAGTCAGTCCCCATGTCATGCCTTCTTCGTCTGCCATTTACACGAAGTCACACTGAGCAGCCCTCCCCAGAGGGCCGCTGGACACATGCAGTTCCTGGTCCAGCGCTCTCCTACCTGCCTCCCCTTCATTCTGAACCTCCCCATGCCCTTGACCCTTTCATCGACTCTACTCAGCCTTCAGGCCTCAGTTTATTTGCATGGTACTTCCCACAGCAGCCTCGACGTCAGGTTGGATGGGCTCCTGTGGAAACACGCGGCGTCCTACACTCGCCTTCCTTAGTGACCTCTTGCTATTAGTTACCTTGACTGTCTTCCATCACAGACTGCAAGTAACTCAAGGGCAGGAAAGACGCCCCGTGCCCTACTGTACCCCAAGGCCATAGCACAGCGTCTGGCATTACATAGGTGCCAAAGACATACTGTGCAAGAAGCAGTCAAAGCCAATGTTGTATTTTAGTAGGTAGAATAATGGGTAGACTTACCATCAAAGTATTGAGGATAATAAACATGCAAAACATTTGGAGACCAAAACAGGTGTTTTGAGGGACACCCTGAGGGATTCTTGAAAGATTGGGAAGAATGGTAGGTGAGAGTAGTAACTTACACCGAACTTCTAATGTCATTTTGGCCAAAATGATCTTTCTGTTAGTCATACAGACTACAATGAAATACGGACCTCCCTTCACACTTCAGGTTAGTAAACAGAAATGAGCCTCCTAAATGCAAGAGATATATGATGCGAACCCCCCTCCCCTCATAAAAAAGGAAAATATCTAGAGGCGATACAGTCATCACAAACTATTTTACCTGCATGAATTTGGTTTCAGATCCAGTATAAATAACTATGCCAAGGACCCACTGGGTATTTTTAAGTTGTGTACCTCTTAGCAGGACCTGACCAGGTCCGACTGCAACCGGGCTAAAAAGAAAGAAGAGCAGTTATAAATTACTAAGAAGTTTTTCCTTTTATTTCCACAATGTAAAGCAAGCCGAGGCTTTCACCTCATACATATTTCTTTTTTCAGGTTCAACTTTGGGGGGAAATAGCAATAAAAACAAATATGTCTTCATACAAAGAGCATGGGAAAAAATTGTTTTATCATCCAATTCTCACTAACCTAATGATATGTTGATTAAAAATTCTAGAGAAACAATATCTCTCACAACCTGGGGTGACTAGGAAACTTACTGTCAAGGAAGACTGGATGGAGGAATAAATACTTGTGTGTTCCCAATTTGGTGATCAATAGAAAAGGTTACATGTGGTCATTCTGAGCACACGAAGCAAGCCGTGGTTGTCTTGTTTTCCTGGCCTCCTCCCCTCCAGCACTGGACTGACTCACTATGTAAAAAATGCTTCCGGGGTGCTGGGGTGGCTCAGTCAGTTGAGTATCGGACTTCGGCTCAGGTCATGATCTCACAGTTCGTGAGTTTGAGCCCCACATCGGGCTCTGTGCTGACAGCTCAGAGCCTGGAGCCTGTTTCAGATTCTGTGTCTCCCTCTCTCTCTGCCCCTCCCTTGCTCATTCTCTCTCTCTCTCACTTGCTCTCAAAAATAAACAAACATTTTAAAAAATGCTTCCATAAAAGTCTTAAGTGAAAGCTAAACAGAAGTGGAGCAGAAATTAGGAAAAATCATTCCTTATTATCGGACTGAATTCCTAGTGGCTTCTCTTCTTGGATGACTTTCAAAACCTTGTTCCTCCCACTAACTTACCCCAAGGGATGTGCTGAGTGCTTCTATGCAGGAGGGACTTAGACCCGACTTCTCTAGCCCTTCCATACGCATACGCTGGTATACTGATTTTAAAAATGCCATACATTTTCCTCTCATATTTAAGAATCTTTTTAACAATATATTGATGCCTTAGGTATTTCAAAATCAAGTAAAAAATGAAAAACTATTAAACTGAGAGAACAAAAACTGCCATATTTTATGTCCCATTTAAAAAAGATGTTTGATAAGAGAAAGATGATACATACCTTTTACCATTTAGATACAAGGTTCCAATGAAGGTATCGAAATGACGATTAGGTCCTTCGCATTCTATTTTTCCAGAGAGGCTTGACAATTGTTTTTCTGTTTGCATGTCAGCGGTTTGTAACAAAGCCTGTAAAATAAAGTCGAAAGAAAATAAAATGGATATAAAACCTTAATGGCAAAGTTCAGTGCCCTAGCAGTTAATAAAAAAAAAATTCTGAAAATTAGGGTCCAAAATGTACTGCACTTACCAGATAATAAGGTACCTCAAACTTTAACATAAACTTTGTTAGAAAACTTTGCCATACCAGTATTTTGCAAATCATTTTAACATGGTTCAAAGAGGTAGGAAAGTCAAGTTTTCATCATCTCTACATGAAAATAAGTTTTGAAAGTGTAGTGACTATAGCCAAACATCATGTCACATTTCACACATTTATGGCTGTAGCTGATGCTCCTAAAATCTGGACCACTGAGAGCAGCAAGGATCTAGAATAAGGACTCCAAACTTTTGCATACATCAGATTCACGAGCAAGTCTCCTTAAAATACAGATTGCTGAGATTCAGCCCCAGGGGTTTTTTTTACTCAGTAGGTCTGAGGTGGAACGCTAGGATTTGCATGTCGAAAAGGATGCCGATGCTGCTGATCTGGAGAGCACACTGGAGAAACACTGATCTAGAGAATGTCTCTTTACGATATGATCTCAACTTTACAGAGAGCAAAAGGAGATCATCTTCAGGGGAACAAGAATCAAATTACCATCAGTCTTTTTAACATCAGTACGAGATACAGGAAGACAGTGAATTTTTACTTTTTTTAAAAAATGTTTTATTTATTTCTAGGAGAGAGAGAGAGACAGCGTGAGCAGGGGAGGGTCAGAGAGAGAGGGAGACACAGACTCTGAAAAAGGCTCCAGGCTCTGAGCTGGCAGTCAGCACAGAGCCCGACGCGGGGCTCGAACCCACGAACCACGAGATCATGACCTAAGCGAAAGTCAGACGCTTAACCAACTAAGCCACCCAGGCGCCCCGACTTTTAATTACCTAAATAAAAGATCTTTAAATTTAGAATGTTGCATCTTTCCAAACATCAAACAAATGTGAAAGTTTAATGCAAATATTCCCAGGCATCCAAACGTCTTAGAAGTTTTGACCCTCCGAAACATACATTGAAAGAGTTTGAATGCACTTCTGTTAATAAAAAGATGTCTTAAGGAAAATCTAAGAGCAAGTTACCAACTGGGAGAAGGCTTTTTATAACACATATAACTGACAAAGAATTGGTATAAAAAATATGAGGGACTCGAGTGACTCAGTCGGTTGAGCTTCCGACTTCAGTTCAGGTCATGATCTCAGGGTTCCTGAATTCACGCCCCACATCGGGCTCGCTGTCAGTGCAGAGCCTGCTTTTGATTCTCTCTCTCTCTCTCTGCTTCTCCTCTGCTCATGTTCTCTCAAAAATAAATAAAACATTTAAAAAATATTTAAATATGTAAAGAAATCCTATAAACCAATAAAAAATACAAATATCCCAATAGAAAGATGAATAAACATGAATATTTCCCAGAAAAAGAAAATACATATTACCAGTAAGCTCAAAAGCAGATGCCCAAGAATGATATATTAATGAATTTAAAAAGAAAAAGTAGGGGCGCCTGGGTGGCTCAGTCAGTTAAGCATCTGACTTCAGCTCAGGTCATGATCTCACAGCTCCTGGGTTCAAGCCCCGCGTCGGGCTCTGTGTTGACAGCTCAGAGCCTGGAGCTTGCTTCCAATTCTGTGTCTCCCTCTCTCTCTGTTCTTCCCTCATTTATGCTCGGTCTCTTTCTCTCAAAAATAAGTAAACATTTAAAAAAAATTTTTTAAAAAAAGAAAAAGTATTATATCAATTGAGGCTGAGAAAATTAGTAAAAGTTTAATGTGCATTCTAGAAAAATAAAATTCTTAGCACAACTTTGCAAAGTTGGTAAAAGTTATCTACCAGAATGGAATGCAACTATCCACACTTAATTATCAAATGTTAAATTGCTTCCATGTTAGTCAGGAACAAGAAGAGACTGGGCTCTATCATCAAATGTATTTGTAACTGTTCAGGACTTTCTGGGTATTGCCATAAGATGGAGGGGCGGGGGGGGTGAGCAGTAAGAAATTAGGTATGATAATTGGAAAGTAAACGACAAAAATAACCCAATTTTTAAAGAAAGAATTTATCACCCAAAAAATTCCTATCTGCTTTACTTAAAAATTATAGAAATGTGTAGGACTATTTAGTAAGAATTTAGTAGGAATATTTAGTAAGATGTTTGGATTTAAGATCAATAAACAAAAATAACTATAGATGTATCACAAACATCCATCCACTAGAGGGCAGCTGTCTAATAAAGCTGCTATAGCCATCCGTATAAAGCATTTTTTGTGTGTGTGAACATAGATTTTGACCTCTCTGGAATAGCGCAATTACTGGGTCACATAATAGTTGTGTGTTTAATTTTATACAAAACTGCCAAAATGTTTTCCCAAGCGGCTGTACCATTTTATATTCCCACCTGCAATGTATGAATAATCCACTTTCTCCACATCCTTACCTGCATTTGATGTTGGAACTATTTTACATTTTGGCCATTCTGATAGGTGTGTAGTGATACTTCACTCTGATTTTAATTTGCATTTCCCTAATGGTTAATGATGTAGAAAATGTCTTCATGTGCTTGTTTTCCATTTTTATATCCTATTCTATGAAATGTCTCTGTCTCTTTTGCCCATTTTGGTTTGTTTTTTTTTGTTATTTTTTATTATTATTTTATTTTTTGGTTTATTCATCATGATATTTATTGAATGCATGTTATTCAATATGTGCATGTGCTTGAGATGCTGGGGTTGATTCAATAGTTTAAACAAACAAATAAACAAAAACAAAGTCCCTGCTCTTTGATGGTCACTTTAAAAATACTGCACCCACTTGGGAAAATATTACAAAAAACTTCATTACTGGTTTGGCTTTTTTTTATTTTTTATTTTTAAATGTTTTTTATTTATTTCTAGGAGAGAGAGAGAGTCACAGACTGAAACAGGCTCCAGGCTCTGAGCTGGCAGTCAGCACAGAGCCCGACGCGGGGCCCGAACCCACGGACCGCGAGATCATGACCTAAGCGAAAGTCGGACGCTTAACCGACTAAGCCACCCAGGCGCCCCTGGTTTGGCTTTTTTTAAATGAAAAGTTTGAGAGTTCTTTATATATCCAGATACCAGTCATTTGTCAGGCATGTGGTTTGCAAATATTTCCTCCTGGTTTTCAGCTTGTCTTCATCTTCTTCAAAAGCAAAAGCTATTTATTTTGATGAGGTCCAATTTATCAATTTTTCCTTTTCTGGATCACATTTTTTATACTGAATCTGAGAAATCTTGGTCTACTGTGGATCCTAAAAATTGTTTTCCAATTTTTTTCCTAAAAGTTGTATAGTTTTACATTTTACATTTAAGTCATGATGAATTATTAAATAACTTTCGTATAAAGTGTGACTTAGGTCAAGGATTTATTTGGTGTTTTGGGGGCTTTTTGTTTTGTTTTGTTTTGCCTATGAATGTACAATTGCTCCAGCACCATTTGTTGAAAATGTTAGCTTTTCTCTAAAGAATTGCTTTTGCGCCTTTGACGAAATCGCTTGGCATGTTTGCATGGATCGATTTCTGGGTTTTCTATTCTGTTGCATTGAGCTATGTGTCCATCCCTTTACCAAAACTACACACTCTTGATTACTGTAGTTGTAGAATGTCTTGAAATCAGGTAGATTTATTCCTTCCATTTTATGCTGCTTTCTCAAAAATTTTTTAGCTATTATAGTTTATTTGCCTTTCTGTAAATACTTTAGGATAACGTCATCCGTATCTAGATCTTGCTGGGATTTTCCAATGAGTTCCATTAAATTTGTATTAAATTTGGGGAGAATTAGTATCCTTGCTGTGTTGAGACTTCCAATCCATGAGCACTGTTTACCTCTCCATTTATCTAGATCTTCTTTAAGTTCTTTCATCAACATTGTAATGAAATTTTCAGCATTAAGATCCTGTCTATATTGTTAGATTCATACCTAATTCACATTTTAAGTGCTTATAAATGGTATTGTTTTCTTTTTAACTTCAGGGTCCACAGGTTTATTGCCACAATACACAAAGGAAAGTGGTTTTGTATGTTTATCCGGTATCCTGCATCCTTGCCAAAAACACATCATTTTATTTTAGACTCCTTGGGAATCTAGATAGACAAGTTCTTTACATAGACAGCTATGTCAAAGTCAAATAAAGGCAATCTTGTTATTTCCCTTCCAATATGTATGCCTCTTTTTCTTTTTGTTGCATTTTCTACCACTTCTAGTGCTATCTGAATAAGAGTAATGTCAGCAGATATTCTTGCCTGGTTCCCATTTCTGGGGGAATGCATTTAGTCTTTTACCACTTACGATTTTGTCACATAGATTTTAACATTAGCTCTAAGATTTTTGTAGGTGTTCTTTACCAAGTTGAGAATATTCCCCTCTAATTCTACATTTCTCTAATTTTTCTCATGAATTGACATTGAATTTTGTCAGATGCTTTTCCTGCCTTTACTGATATTATCATGTGATTTTTCTTCTTTAAGCCTAAAATGGTGGATTACATGGATGGATTTCCAATTATTAAATGAGCCTTGACTACATGGAATAAACCTTTATACTTCTTTTCCTATATTACTGAATTCTACTTACTAGTAGTTTTAAAGAATTTTGGTGCCTAAACCCTTGAAGGATATTGAAACATTTTCTTTTTTTTTTTTTTTTCTTCAGTGTCTTTGTCTGGTTTGGGAATCAGGGTAATAGTAACAGCTTCATAAAATGAATTGGAAAATGTTCCCTCCTTTTCTGTTTTCTAGAGGAAACTGTGTATAATTGATGTTAACTATGCATTGCATGTTTCTTCGAATATTACAGTTAAACCACCGGGACCTTGAGATTTCTTTTGGGGGGATTTTTAAGTTATGAATTCAATTTCCTTAGAAGCTATTGGGCTATCCAATTTATCTTTTCCAAGTGTTTCTAGGTTTTTCTGGTATCTTTGCCACGATTTCTAGCTTTATTCTACCATGGTTGGAGGATACATTCTCCATGGCTTCAATTCTTTTCATTTTCATGAGGCTTGTTTTATGACACAGGAATTATGTATCTTGGTGTGTATTCTTGGGCACCAAAAAGAACGTGTCTTTCTTCTGTTGGGTATTGTTGAATGCAGTATAAACATCAAATAGACCCTGTTGGTTGATGGCATTTAGTTCTGTATCTTTGAGAATCTTCTATCTGGCTGTTCTGTCAGTTAATGAGACAGGGTTGCGGAAGTCTCCAACCAAAGACGTGGACTGGTCGGTTACCTTTGAAGTTCTAGCAATTTCACCTTCACATATTTGCAGCTCTGTTTCTTGATGCATACACATGGACACTGCTGTGTCTTATTGGTGGATTTGTCTCTCTTGTCATTATGTAATGATAAAAAATATTCCCTTCTGTTTCTGGCAATTTCATTTGCTCTGATGTCTCCTTGATTTGATATTAATAAAGCCACTCCTGATTTCTTTTAACTAATCTTTACACAATAGGTCTTTTTCTATCTTTTTTTTTAACTTTTAACCTGCCTATACCATTATAATTAAAGAGAGTTTTGTATAGAAGACTTATATGATCCAGCATATACTTGGATTATGTTTTTAATCCTTTAGATACCATTCCAATCCAATATTTCAGGGCATATTAATGCCATTTACATTTCATATAATTATTGATTTTCTTTGCTTTTTCTGATTTTGCTTTATTATTTTTTTCTTTTTCCTGCTTTCCTTTCAGTTACTTGAACATTTTTTAGAATTCCATTTTGGTTTATTGATAGTGTTTTTTAGTATATTCCCTAGTGTATAACTATTACAGTGGTTATTCCAGGCACTACATTATTAAAGTATAACTTCTCACAGTTGGTGTCACCACTTATGAGTTTAAATAAGATATAGAAGCCTTGCTTCCTTTTGTCTCTTTACCCTCTCCTATTATAATATATATCTTAAATATTTTCTTTCATACATTTAGAATGTCAGATAATTTTATCCTTTTTGTTTCAACCATCAAACATAATTTAGAAAACTGAAGAGAAAAAACATATTGTATTTGGCCTTATTTTTGCTTATCATGCTCTTTATCCTTTCTTATGTTCTTTTATGGTTTCCTTTCTGTTTTAACACCTTCCTTTAGCCATTCTTTACAGTAGGTCTTGTGGCAACAAATTCTGTTATTTTTTCTTTCAGTGGAGAATGTTTTCATTCTCTCTTCATTCTTGAAAAACATGTTTGCTCCATACATGATTCTGGGCTGACAGATTCTTACCGATCAGCATTCTTTAAATGTTATGCCACTTCCTTCTGACCTCCATGGGTTTTTAGTAAGAGATCTGCTTTTACACAAAGGGTCTTTTCCCTACAGGTAGGGTCTGTTTTCTCTCAACTACTCTGAAATATTTTTGTTTTCAGAAGTTTGATTATAATGTGTCTTTGTATGGATTTCTTTGGGTTTATCCTTTTTGGTTCACTCAGCTTCCTAAATTTACAGTTTATGTCTTTTGGCAGATTTGTGAAGTTTTAGCCACTGTTTCTTCTACTGGTTTTGCAGCTCCACCCTCTCTTCCCCTTCCAGTGTCTCGTGTCATGACTGCTAGCTCTTCGGTTATACCCCCACAGGTCTCCGAGGCTCTGTTCAGTTTTCTTCCTCAGCCTATTATCTCTGTTGTTCAAGTCGGGTAATTTCGATGGCTTTATCTTTCAGTTCATGGATTCTTTCCTCTGTCCCTTCTATTCTGCTGTGGAGCTCATCACTTGAGAGTTTTTAATGCCTTAAGTACTCACTGTACTTTTAAGTCCCGCAATTTCCATTGGGTCATCTATTTCTTTGCTGAGATTCTGTTTTCTTTGCTGAGACTTCTTATATTTTCCTATTTGTTTCAAGCATGTTTGTAGTTTCTCATTGAAGTTTTTTTCCCCCAGTGGATCCTCTAAAATTGCTTCCAGATAATTCTAACATCTCATTATCTTGGTGGTGGCATTAGCTGCCCCCCCTTTTTTTTTTTCCAATGAGTTTGAGATCCTCCCGGTTTTTGGTATAATGAGTGACTTTTTATTGAAATCTGGACATTTGGGGCATCAGGAGATCTGGGTATCATTTAAACTTTCTGGGTTAGGTGGCTTCCTTTGACACCACTCTGCCAGGCAAAGGGGGTGTTGCCTCATTACTGCAAGATGGGGGTAGGAAGACAAGCTGCACACTTGGCCTCTGCGGGCAGCTGGCCAGGACCGGGAGTCCCAGCTCCCCAGCAGGCCTCCAACATTGAAGAGACTGGAACGCCATTGCTGCTGTCCGTGTCGTCTCCACTGTGAAAAGAGGGGAGCGCCTTAGTGCCACCCTTATTACAAAATCAAAGTCCTCACTTCCTACTTGGCTTCTCTGACACTACCCTTGTGGTGGAGTTGGGTGCCTCCTTACAGCCTGGTAAGGGTGGAAGTCAAGGCTCGACACCAGCCCGAGCTGGCAGAGGTGGGAGCGGGACTGTATTTTCACTCTGTGTTTGGCTGGGGCAGGGTGGCCACTGTCAAAGTCTCTGTCTTACTGTCTGCCTTTCTTCCAGTCCTTGGACTAGAGAAAGGAGGCTTTCATCGGGGCATCTTTTTGGGGGGTCTCTGTCCATTGGTTTTTCTGGGTTTTTGGTTTCTTCAGTCCCAAACCTGGTATGTAGAAGGCAAAAGGAAAACCCGGGGAACTCACCACCATGTTGTTCCACAGCTTCTAAGGTTCCACGATCTACCTTCTTCTATCACTCTTTCAGTGTTTTTCAATGACTCTTTCAAGGTCTCCTTATATTTGTTTTCTACATAATGTCCAAACTTTTTAGTTTTACTTAGCAGGGAAAATAGAAGAAAGCATGTCTACTTCATTTCTCCTGAAACAGAAGTCTATAATCGCATTTTTAAAAATGAAGAAGGTACAACCAAACTATCAGAACAATTAGTACTGGGGATAAAGGTGTGATTTAGAAGATGGAGGGGGTTTAGTAGACTGCCTAAGCTTCTGTATTATTTATGTTATTTTTACAAAGATGATATATTACTTTAATAAAGTCTAAATGTATATTTTTAATTTTTGATCCAACTAAAGTTTGCAAAAAAGATTAGCAGACATGTAAATAGTCAAATGTACAATGAGGGGCTTCCTTTCTGAAGCAAAGACTCAATTATTTTATTTATTTGGTGGGGGAAGAGAGAGAGTGCACGAATAGAGGAGAGGGGCAGAGGGAGAAGGGTAGAGAATCTTAAGCAGGCTCCACACTCCTCACAGAGCCCAACACAGGGCTCGATCCCACAATCCTGGGATCATGACCTGAGCCAAAACCAGGAGTTGGATACCCAATTGACTGAACCACTCAGGTACCCCAAGGCTCAATTATCTTAAAGGTCAATGTCTTTTTTCCATTAATAGCAAGTTAAGTGGAAAACTATCTCCTTCCATTCATAATCACGAGTTACTCTGTAATTCAAATGAGAGTTTAAAAAGCAGTGTTATATAAGATCACTCGAAGCTCATTTAGATGAATAACTATGATATTTATCGTGACAGTAGTCATATTACCAAAGTACTCACAAAAATATCCTCAAAACAACATGCACAAAGGCATGTTATCCTTTATGACCTGAATTTTATAGGACATTTTTTTTTCTTATAGTAGTGACATATTACCTACTTCTTACTTATTTTTTAAAATACCTTATAAATAACTGCTGAGGATGCATTACATCTACGCAGGAGTGGTAAAGTACTTTTCTTCATGAAAAATAAATAACTGGTACCTGACAAGACTTGACATTGTGAGTTTAAGCATAAAATCGGGATTTGAAAAGGTGTCTTTACCTGCCGTATTTTTAGGTTTGTCTCCCCATCCAGATTACTGGTTGCAATATAACACGTTGCCTCGGGTTCACTGAGGAAAATAAAGCAAGTGACACTGAATCAATCTCTCTCCCAAGAAACTAATTTCCCAATAATGTTAACAATGAAACAGGACTTATATCAGTGGCTTCTAGGTTTCTTCCCAACTGAAAGGACCACAGTTACTTTTCCAGGAGATACTAACAGTCTGATTCCACCAGCCTAAAATTCATCTTGTGGTAGAAGACTTTCTACCCTTAAAAAAGCTGTGTGATTACTCTTTAATTTCAAAAAGAGAGATGGCTGAGGGTGAACAGGAGATGTGATATAGCTCAGAACAGGCCAGCAGCACAACTAAGGTCAAACTTAAAATTCTGTTATTTTCTAAAATGCATCCATTGTAGTTCCCAATGGTTGAGGCTCTATGGCCTTTATAATGAGGGTAAATCTTTAGGATGACTTTGGACAGAGCAGAAGCCCACAGAAATGGGCTTCTCTATTTCTATCTCACCTCACCAGTTAAAAAATTAACACTGACTTAACAAACATTTGCCTTGCCAGATTTTACTCCATGCCAAATGCAATTCACTCATGAAAAGTAGTTATCTGGGGGGAAATGCCACAAAGAATAACAAAAATGTCATTAAAGTTTACTTAGTCTTCATTGCAGTCTCAACTCTTTTGACTGTATCTCATTCACTGCAATATCAAGTTTAAAGTAAAACAATCTGGGGGTGCCTGTCTGGCTCAGTCGGTTAAGTGTCCAACTTCGGCTCAGGTGATGATCTCACAGTTCGTGGATTCGAGCCCTACATCGGGCTCTGTGCTGACAGCTAGTTCAGAGCCTGGAGCCTGTTTCAGACTGTGTGTCTCCCTCTGTCTCTGACACTTCCCTGCTGACGCTGTCTCTCTCTCTCTCTCTCTCTCTCAGAAATAAATAAATAAATAAATAAATAAATAAATAAATAATAAAGTAAAACAATCTGTATCAGTTTTGCCAGTTGAGACCATACACCCCAAAATAAAAATATATCTTCGTTAAGGATGTCAGTGGTATAACAAAGTAAGAAGTTCCAAAAACTTACTCCTCTATAAAACAATGAGATAACTGACAAAAATGATCAGAATCAAGTTTTCCAGAACTCTGAAAATTAACTAAAGACTTAAATCAATCCTGGGAGAATTTATTCAAGAAAAAAGCCAAATATTGGTTTTTTTAAGTGAGCTTCATAATATTTTAACTTCCTCCTGCCTTGGGCTCAGTAGCAGCTTTAAAAAAATAATACTCCACATTCCCAATACTGAGGGATCATAAAAGAGAATGATTTCTTTCAAAGCCTTATTCCCAAAAAGTTATTTCACCTGTCTGATGGTCTCTGGAAGGGCTTGTTTTATCTGACTTGGCCTAGACCTTACTCAGTGCTAAAACCCTAGGTAAAGGGTGGTGGGGGTGGGGAAACATTTGTTGAGAACACTTACAGGAAAGTGTTTTAATGTTGCAGGTGTCTGAGGTGATGTATAACAACAGACTAACCAAAAGGCCAAAAAGAAAAACTCAAAAAATTTTTTTAAATGTTTATTTTTGAGAGAGACACAGAGAGAGAGAGAATGAGCAGGGAATGGACAAGAAAAGGAGACAGAATCTGAAGCAGGCTCCAGGCTCTGAGCTGTCAGCACACAGACTGACGCGAGGCTCAAACTCATACCCAGGTGCCCCCTAAAAGAAAAACTTCTAATGAAAAGCAACAGAAAAAAATCCTGGGGAAGAGAGAGAATTCGATTGTCAGAGATGCCACATTATATTACTTAAAATGTTAAATTTTCAACAAAAATCATGAAACATGAAAACCCTGAGCAGCAAGTAAGTATGAACCATATACAGATTAAAAAGCAATCAATAGGAAATGTTCCTGAGCCAGTTCAGACATTGAACTTACTTGACAAAAATGTAAATCACATGCCAAATATGTTCAAATAGCTGAAGGAAACTAGGTCAAAAGAAATAACATATTACAACATGTCCCATCAAATAGAGAAGATCAATAAAGAATAGAAATTACAAAAAAGAAACCAAATAGAAATTCTGGGGTTGAAAAGTATAGTAACTGAGATTTAAAATTCACTGTTCAGATTTGAGCAAGCAGAAGAAAGACTTGAACTGGAAGATAGGTCAATTGAGAGAACTCAGACTAAGAAACAAAAATTTAAAGGAATAAGATAAAAAAATAGAGCCTCAGAGACCTGTGGGACGCAAACAAACATACCACTATACACATACTGGGAGTCCCTAAATGAGAATTCAGAAAGGGGCAGAAAAAAGTATTTAAAGAAACAATACCCCAAAACTTCCTAAATCTGATGTACCATATTAATCTACACATCCAAGAAGCTCAAAATATAAGCCTCCAAGTAAAATATTCTCAAAGAAACCACACCTAGACAAATCATAATCAAACTGTTGAAAATTAAAGCCAAAGAGAAAATCTTGATAGCAACAAGAGAAAAACTACTCACCACTTTCAACAGATGATAAATAGACTATCAAATCTTTCTCAGCAGAAACCTTGGAGGAGGTTAGAAGGTACTAGGATGACATATTCAAAGCACTGGAAAAAATTATCAACAAAGAATGCTGTATCCAGCAAAATTACCTTTCAAAAAATGAAGAACTACTACATTCCCAGATGAATAAAAATAGAGACTGTTAGTAGCAGGCTTACCCCATAATAAATACTGAAGGGATTTCATCAGACTAAAATGAAAGGTCAAAAAGTCGTATCTCAATCCACATAGAGAAAAAAAGAGTACCATTAAAAGTATATATAGGCAAATATAAAAGATATATATAACATATAACCTATATGTATATATGTGTGTGTATGCACACATATAATTTTTTGCTTATAACTTTTTTCTCCTTATTTAAAAGTCAACTGCATAAGCAATAATCATATGTCTATGTTGAGGATCACACAATGTATAAATATATAATTTGTCATAACAGCAAAAAGGAGGGAGAAGTGGTAATAGAGATATTTTGGAGCAGTTTTTGAACACTAAGGAAACTAGACTAGTATTAATCCAAACAAGATTGTTATATAAACTGTGATGCTAATTGTCATCCCCAGGCAACCACTAACTAAAAATATATAGGAACTAAAATATAGAGAGTAAAAGAAACAGCAGGGAATTAAAATTATATTAGAATGTATCTATTTAGCACAAAAAGGCAGTGACAGAGGAATTGAAGAATAAAAAGATAGAGGACATAAAAAATAGCAAGTGGCATATAAAAATCCTACTGAATCAGTAATTATATTAAGTGGATTATACGCCCCAACTAGAAGGCAGAAATTGACAAAATAGATTTTTTTAAAAACATGATACAGGGGCGCCCCTTCCCCTCCCCCCCATCCCATCTGCCCTCAGTTTGTTCTCAGCATGGAGGAGGGCACTTGTGGGGATGAGCACTGGGTGAAACCAACTTGACAATAAACTATTAAAAAAATAATAATAATAAATAAAGCAACTGGAAAAGAAAAAAAATTCTGTCTCTAAATTTAATCATGAGACATGCATACCTAGGGCCAATAAAGGTGGTATCTACTTTTAAAATATTCCATTTTAAATATTTCCTTTTCTTTATAATTTCATCACTACATTTATATGTATCACTAAGCAATATGTTGGTTACTTATAATCTCTAAATAGTTGAGGGGGTTATGTACACAATAATATATACAAATTCTAGAAAACACATATATACATATACACATACATATGTATATGCTATATATGTATACATATGTATATATATATACATATAGCAGTTTGTTCTTTGATTAAGATATTTCCCTCTTACTGGTAGTGTTCTAAGAATTTTTATCACAAATGGATGTTGCATATTTTGAAATGCTTCTATTCAAATAATCATTTTTTATACCTTTACTCTACCTTTAATCTACCAAAGTGAAAACCTGCGTTCTTTGATTTCCTACTAATAATTTAAAAAAATACCGTGGTCACCCTTTAGAAGCAAGATCAAGGCCCCACCCACCCAAAATTTGGTTTGAGTGTCAAAACCGATGATGCCACAAACACACCAAGAGAGGGAAGATTTATTATATATGTAACAGGCTTTCTGGGGAGAAAGGGCAGACCTTGAAAGCTGATCCAGAAATGCTTGAGAGAGCAAGGAAGGAGACAGGCTGAGGGGTGCGGCTTTTTTGGTGGCTAGGGAGGGAAGCCCCCACACAAGCTGAGCCTTACTCGACTTGAAACTCCTTCCGGTGCCAATGGAGGGAGCAGTCAGCCAGTCCAGAGGTGGGGCAGGAGGGGAGGAGGAAAGGCGGCTTGAAAGCTGTCAGCAAATATCCAAAAATGGAGTCAGACTCCTTAGTAGGAGTCTGACATATTGATCATAACGTATTCCCATCCTTTATATTGTCAGGTTTTAAGATTTTATATTAAAATTAACAGCAAAATGGACTTGTCAATTTCCTTTCTCGTTCTGTATTTGTTAATTTTTTGTGTCAAGGTCATAACAGTTTCAGAAAATTAATTGCTATTTTTTGAGGAGCTTATTAGAAAATCGGTATTTTCCCTACACTGAGTGATAGAATTCAACAGTTACAATGTCCGGTCCTGATGGTCTCTTTGTGGGAAGTTGATGTGTTTTTTTGGTTTCATTTTGTTTTGGTTTTTACTACTTATGTAATATCTTTAATGATTATAGGACCATTCAGGTGCTAAACCTCTTCTAGAATAAGTTTTGGTAAATTATATTTTTCTATGGATTTATGCATTTCACTTAAATACTAAAACAAGATCATAAAACTTTCATAAGATCCTCTCATTAACCTCTGGTGCATTTATATCAACTTTTCAACTTTTTAACAAATAGACATATTTCTGCCTTTCCTTTTCTTCCTTGATTAATCTTACCAGAATTGTCATTTATTAGTCTTTTTCTTTTTTAAATGTTTTATTTATTTCTAGGAGAGAGAGATAGAGACAGCGTGACCTCCCAGGGGAGGGTCAGAGAGAGAGGGAGTCACAGACTGAAACAGGCTCTAGGCTCTGAGCTGACAGTCAGCACAGAGCCCGACGCGGGGCTCGAACCCACGAACCGAGAGATCATGACCTAAGCAAAAGTCGGACGCTTAACCGACTAAGCCACCCAGGCGCCCCTATTAGTCTTTTTTTTAAGAAGCAAGCTTTGCCCATTTCGATCTTCTCCATTGTTTTCTTTCATTAATTTCTCTCTTTTTTTTTTAATTTGACAGAGGTGGGGAGGGACAGAGGTGGAGGGGAGAGAGAGACGGTGGCGGGGGGGGGGAGAGAGAGAGAGAGAGAGAGAGAGAATCTAAAGCAGGCTCCATGCTCACTGTGGAGCCCAATGGAGGGCTCGATCCCATGACCCCGAGATTATGACCTGAGTCAAAATCAAAAGTTGGACGCTCAATCAACTGAGCCACCCAAGCACCCCATTAATTTCTACTCTTACCTCTATTATTTCCTTGTGTCTGATTTCTTTGAGTTTATTCTTTTTTACTGTAGCTAATTTCTTAGACTGGATTCTTAGCTCATTTTTTTGGCATTTATTTCTTTTGTAATGAAAATGTCTATCAGTTTAGCTATATTATAGGAGATCTGATGCATGCTCATAAGTACTAAAATCTAAGTATTTTCCCATTTCCAGTATGATTGCCACCTTGAGCCATGAATTATTTACAGGTACATTTTGTTTCCAACATATAAGGTTCCTAGTCGTCTTATTATTGATTTCAAACTTAATAGCATTATGCTCAGAGCAAGTGGCCTGTGGAATACCACTCCCTTAAAATAAGCTGATTCTGTCTTATGTCCTAACGATCTTGACATATATTCCTAACTATGCTTGAAGATTATGTATACATCACTTTTGGGTATAATACACCAAAAAGTTCTGTTCTATACATGCCATTATTTCAAGGTTTCATTGTGCTTTTCAAGTATTCTACCTCCACGCTGACTTTCTTCTCCATTTCATCAATTCCTGAAAGCAAATATTAAAACATCACGGTATGATGTTGGGTTTGTAAATTTCTTAGATGTACAAGTTTCTTCTTTTCTCCATGAATTAAAACTTTTATTATTCAATGGCTCTTTTCTTTTTCTTCAGTGATGCTTTATCTCAAATAACGCTTTTTGCCTCAAAGTCTATTTCATCTAATGGGGATACCATCTCTTCTGGACTTCTTTACTATGTTCTGTGTGTTTTTGGAGCCTTCGCTTTTAATCTTGGTGAGCACTTGTATTTTGTGAATTTCTTGTAAACATACAGCTGGACAATTTTATAACCTTTTTAAGTTCTTAAATCCATTTGCTTTAATTGTATTGATGTTATATCTTTTCTTTATTCTACTACCTGATCATGTACATTCTATTTCTCCCTCTTTTTGCCTCTTTTTTTCTATTCTTTTAGTCACTTTTGAGGGCTTTTTCCTTCTTCTCAAACAATCTTCCCTCTTGATATGGCTGGAAGTTTTAGACTCTATGTCTAATCTTTTAGATATTAAAGTAAATTTTTAGACAGATATCCAGAACGTAAGGTTTCTAGCCAATCAATATTTTCATCCTCATTTTGAACAATATGAACACCTCTGGGCCACAATGACTCTGATGTTTCCATTATTTAGTTCCAGCTTCAGATCCAGGAAAGCCAATGGATCCAAGGGATGGACTTTCAACAATTCTGAAAAACTGTCAGCCATTATCTTTAGGGCTGTAGCCTTTTCTTCTCTCTCTCCTCCTAATTAATCAGAGGTTTCTTCTTTATTTTCTGTGGTGACATTTAATTCTCTTCTTAAAATTTTTTCGCCATCCAGGCAAGGTGAATTCAGAGATCACATCTGCATGAGCCAGCTTGAATTCTCACAGGGAATGTTTTCCCTCCCCTCTGTGCCAAAGTCAAGGCAGGCAATTCCTCTATTGCCCCCTACAGCATGGCGGGTTTGACTCTTCATTCTACCTTAACTTAGAGTGTGGTTCTCAACTTTACGCAAGAATCACCTACCAATTCTTCTCATAGGGGTGTCCCCTGGGCCTTATCCCTGTCTCTTTTACCCACTGTGCTCAACAAAATGAAGCTTATAGTCTTCATGGTTTGTCAGAAACCCTTGGGGGAAAAGCCTATACTTGGGGGAAAAGCCTATGATCTTCCTGGGTTCATTCTGAGCTTCACTCTGGTTTCCTTATTTTTATGCCCAATCAAATAAGCATTGGTGTGTGTGTGTGTGTGTGTGTGTGTGTGTGTGTGTGTGTGCGTGCATGCACATATGTGGTATCTGAATTGTTTAGCAGGGGCAGGGTGAAAACTTAGAAAATATCATCAATAAAACTGCCATAAAAAAAAAAAGTCCAAGAATAATGATTTTTGTTCCCCCCTTACTGCTCTCCTTCTCCAAAAAAAGATTGTTTTCTATATCAGTAGCACTTTGTAAGAGAAAGGAAGAGGCAAAGAAAGTCACACAAACCAATGACATAGAGGTTATAGAAACAAAACACTTTATGGACATCTCTGGCTCCTCTGTCAACCCCATACCCCTAACCAAACCCGGAAGAGAACGCATGGGCAACAGGAAGTCCCTTTGTCCGGTGGGCTAATGAATCCATGGCAAAAGAACAAAGTGCATCTGGCAGGAAAAAGAGCCAGTGTTGGTATTACTGCTTTTCAAGAAGCTTGGACAATGGCTCTAGAACAAATCTGTCCCCCCAAGAAATCTCTCCATGCTCCAAAGTGATGTGTGTCTAGATGGCTAGAAACTCTTTTTTTAATCACTTGGAGATGATTATGACTTGACCTAGGGAACCAGTTTACCCAACATGTGAGACGCCGCTGTGTTCCCGACTACCGCCCCTCTTACCCCCAGATGCCCTAGCTCTCCTTACAGAGAGCATGGAGGAGGGAGCCAGGAGGCGCCACACAGAAGCAGGCGGGAGGTGGTCAGACATGACCTGATGGGAAGGAAATACCCGTTGGAGGGAGTCTCTGTGCAAGTTTCCTCTAAAACAGCCAGAAAACAAAGCAATATAGTTCCACAAAGAGAACAGAGACTGTGTTTTTAAATTTGGGTCTCCTGTGAGCCCACTTAATGGTACCAAAAGAAATCACTTACTCTCTGTGTGAGTAATTTTGTTTACAGAATGGGAATATCTCAGAATTGCCATAAGATTAAAATAAGTGTAGATTTTTCAAACTTTTGCTGAATGTCTATAGAAATTATAGAAGGATGGAATTAACGTAACAATTACAATAGAAGAAAATGTGTCCAGGGAAATTAAAGAAAAATATAGTAAAAGTATAGAATAGCAGAATAACTATGGCCCACAGGCCTAATCCAAGCCCTCCCTCTTTTTTATAAGTAAAGTTTTATTGGAACACATCCACACCTATTTGTTTATGTGTTGCCTACGGCTACCTCTGATGCCACAACAGACTGTATGGCCCTCAAAGCTGAAAATATTTACTATGAGTCCTTTCACATTAAAACTTTGCAGGTGCCGGTCTATACTATTAAAGAGACTGATGGAGAAAGGGGTGAGTGGGGAAAGCCTTTGTTTTCCTTAAAATTTCTAATTCAGAATAAAAGCTCCTTAAATGCCCATTCATATAACTAACCTGGAAGAAATCAGAACCATGTCTGCAGGAAGGAACTGTCCATTTGAGGTCTTCACAATGTCACCTACATTGACCTTTTAAACCAGGAAAGAAAACACAGAAGCCTAAATTTTAAAAGCATAAATAGAGGCAAAATATGTCAAATATTCTTATCAAAAATTCTGACACGAAAATCCTAGAGCCATGCTAAGAAACTTCAGCCATATTAGAACAATTTTATCTTTTCAGGGATTCACTTCCCCAAAGTAGTTGTTCTTAGCCAGAGTCGATTTTGCTCTCCCCTTCCACCAGGGACCTTTGGCAATGTCTGGAGATAGTTTTGGTTGTCACAATCTTGGGCGTTTTAGGGGAGCAGGCTATTGGCATCAAGCGGCTGGAGGCCAGGGATATTGCTAAACATCCCACAATGCACAGGACAACCTCCTACGACAAATAATTTTCTGGCCCAAAATGTTAGCTGCAAGGTTGGGAAATCCAAACAGACCTGTCAGTACTATTATTTTCGCAATGATATGCTGGTCATACACTATCACACTGTAATTGCTTGCCTAATGGTGTGTGTTTCTCTGCTGGTCTGTGAACTTCATGTGGAACAGAGAATGAATGAATGAATGAATGAATGAATGAATGAATATTTGTTGACTGAAGGTATGAATAAATTCTAACTTGTAAATAAGAGAAAGAGAGAGATGTAAATACGAGGAACAGTACAGAGGGAAAGCTTTCTTCTTGTGTACTTGTTCTTTGACAAATCCCTTGAGCATTTGCATGGTGCTAAGTATTGAGGACATAAGTCTTGTAAGTGGCAGGCCCTTCCTGGGAAGCTGGAAACGTGGGGGGCAGAGGGTAAAATTCTTTCATAAGCCAATTGCTGGAGCCATACTGAAAAAAATAATAAGTGCTTACTGAAGCGGAAGAGAACATGGGGACGCTGTTTTCCTTTTCATGGTATGATCACACAGATCCTGTCTACCTTCATTAACTGAGCAAAGATTAATTAAATACTTCTGGATCGAAGTGAGGAGAGAACCTTAAAAGCTACACATGTCTACAAATGCAGCGAACTCATGTAACAGTAGGGGAGAACAATGGACTGACAATTAAACATTCACAACTTGCGTAAAGTTCACAATGTAGTGAACAGTAAAGCCCCTGTAACTTACATAAACAAGTAATTTACAGCGAGATCTAACAATGGCTAGCATGAGACAAGTTGAAACTTTGTAATTAAAACTAGATCCCCTCCCCTAGACACAACAGCCACCCAGAAAATTATGCACCCATGGAACTGACAGCGGCCGCCATTCGCCTAAGGGTGGTCATGTCGTACAGGCTCGTGTTCTATTTTGCTCACAGGACCTCCAGGTCAACTCCCTTTTCCTTTTCGAAGCCCCTGATACTTAAAGGTCTCCATCTGATTGTACAGCTGTAAGAGGAGTCAGAGGGATAAGAAGTCCTGGGCCTTGGCTCTAGCTGTTTGACTTGTTCTTTCCAGGGCAAGGCACTGGGGGTAAATTAAAAGTCAATCATGCAATCACCTCTACTCAGATAGAAGCACCCCATCCACCCACTGGGGCCTCACTCCTCTCCTCCCGTCACTCTGCCCTGACATCTGCCATCAGGAATGGAGTAGACCTCTCAGGGGCTTTGTTCTCTTTGACCCAACAAAAGGCGTGAAATGCAATCATAATTGACTCCCCCGTGTTATCTCTCTTAGAGAAAGAGACACTGATACCTAGAAATCAAAACATTCTTATAATTAGCCTTCGAAGGAGTTTTACACTGGTCAGCAATTATCATATATTATTTATAATAGTTACTATTAATATTAACAAATAATATAATAAAGATATTTGTTATTATGTAATCATATATTATTAATTATTATTATTTTGAAAGAGAGAGCACACACACAGGTGCGAGCCAGGGAGGGGCAGAGAGAGAGGGAGAGAGAGAATCTCAAGCAGGCTCCTCACTGTCAGCACAGAGCCTGATCTGGGGCTGGATCTCACGAACCGTGAGCCAAAATCAAGAGTCGGATGCTTAACCAAGTGAGCCACCCAGGTGCCTCAGCAATTAATTACTGGTGAGGACAAAGTCGATATCTAGCCCCAGTATGCCTTTAATTTATATCCCGAGGAAAATACAGTCACGAAAACATTCCCTGCTGTAGTCTCCATATAAGGTTGCCCTGTACCCTGAGCAGCAGTTTGTGAAGCAACATCTTTAGATATTCCAGGAAATGACACAGAAGTAACACAGAGGCACATTAGAAAGCATGTAGACTTCCAACCAGTTAGACTTAAATTCAAATCCTATTTTCACCACTTCTGGGCTGTGTGACCTTGAGCAAAATACTTATTTCTCTTGGGTCCTCTACGTCCTTCCTCATCTCCAAAGTGGAATAATATGACAGTTCTTGAAGACATGTTTCATAGATAAAAATCTGTAACTTTATATATGGTAGGCGACAGGGGTGCCTGTGTGGCTCAGTCATTAAGCATCCGACTTCGGCTCAGGTCATGATCTCATGGTTTGTGAGTTCGAGCCCTGCGTCGGGCTCTGTGCTGACGGCTCAGAGCCTGGAGCCTGCTTCAGATTCTGTGTCTCCCTCTCTCTCTGACCCTCCCCCAGTCATGTTCTGTTTCTCTCTCCTTCAAAAGTAAACATTAAAAAATTTAATAATAAATAAATAAATAAGGTAGGCACTTATTACTAAGTTAAAAGTTCAAATACATTCTTACCTCTTTCCACATAATCACTTTCCATTCATTCTCTCTGAACACTGAAAAACATATAGCTATCTATTAACTGTAACAACTGTATTAGGTAAAGTTCAAAATAATAAAAGATACTTTCCAAAAATCTAAATGTGGTTCTTTATAAGGTACTGTCTTTGTTAATTTAACCTTGATATAAAGTGGGAAAATACGTAAACTGTGTTCACACACACTGGCCAAAATAGAGCAATTGATATAATATAATGTAACATAATGTATAGACAGAGGACAGGCAGAAGCTACATTGAGTTACTCCCACTCCTGAAGAGAAAACAGCTTGCTGCTACATGCTAAAATACTGGCTGGTAGCCTGAAATGTAACATATATTTCTAATCAATTACCAAGATAGCACATATCAAAACTAGAACTGAAGAGAGACTGTGTAACACCCAATCTTTTTTTTTTTCCTAATGTTTTTGAGACAGACAGCATGAGCAGGGGAGGGGCAGAGAAAGAGGGAGACACAGAATCTGAAGAAGGCTCCAGGCTCAGAGCTGACAGCTCAGAGCCTGACTCAGGGCTCCAATTCTGGAACCATGAGATCATGGCCTGAGCCAAAGTCGGACATTTAACCGACTGAGCCACCCAGGCGCCCCCCTGGATCCTTTTTACTGACATAAGAATTGCTCATATCCTAAATATTCCAACTTCCCATCTTTTTTCTTTTCTTTTATCCTAATTAACATAATTAATAAGTTTTACATATGGCAACAGTTTCCTTATGGTTGTTGTTTTGTTTCTCTACTCTTTTAAATAATAAAATGTCATGAAACATAGTACGTGTATCTCTTTGGTCAATTTGGATATTTTCTCACAGTGAAAAGAGATAAAAGCTCAATCTAATATCTTACCTATTGTGTTCTTCGTGTTAACTAATCTGTCTGCCATATGTCGTCTCTGTTACAGAAAAAAAAATCCGTTACATCAAAGGTTCAAAGTGAATAATTCACATTATAATACAAGTCATAGTAGGTTTAAGCAAGAATAGAGGCAGCAAACCTAACTGTCAGTCTCTTTGTGCTGCAATTAATTTCAGCGCTGTTTTGCCTTTACCTGACTATCCGAAATGAGAGGTCATCTAAGGCAGGGAGCACAGCAAAGTGATTAAGTGTGGCCTCTGGAGGCAGCCTGCCTGCCTCGGTTCATATCCCAGATCCACCTCTTACTAATGCAGCCTTAGCAGGTCACTAACCTGCCTGTGGCTCAACTGAAGTGAATACACACACACACACACACACACACACACACACACACACACTATAGGGCCTCCTACACAGTGAAGTGCTACTTAAAATGTTAGCATATTACAGGTTGCTTTCAATGACTATATTTACAGTTAAACACACAATTAGCAATCTTGAATTTTGCCCTGATTTAGCCCAAGGCTTTAAATTAAGTTTGAAGAATTCTTTCATATTATAAAACCAATCAAAGGGCTGGCAACCAACCAGATTTTACTGATGTCCTATCTTAATAAGATAGGAAGGAATTAGGCAGAAGCATATGAATAACAAATAGCGAAGCAATCTTGGAAAATGAGCATTCGGGTTGTGAGTGAGGAGGAAGGGGCCTCTCCCGCGGTGGCCCCGGCTGCCTCTATGAGGTAGGGTCAGAGCTAACAGAAAACAATATTCTGCTCACACTGTCTCTCTCTCTCTCCTAGAAATGAATAAAAGATTTAAAAAAAATTTTTTTTTAATCTGAAACCTTAAAAGTTTAATTCACATTCCACAGCTATGGATTTAAAGAAACTATACCTGTTGCAACAAGCTAGGAAGAAAAGCAACAATATACCTCTTCTACTCAAGGCAATAGTTCTGAGAACATTTCACTAACAGGAAACTTACATAATCTTCTACAATCTCTTTGATGCCTGAAATGGTAAGAATAATCATCAAAGGCAAGAGAGTTGTGTATTTCCCCGTTGGAGACACATCTGGAATTTGCTGCGAAAACAACCAAAGTTACACTATGAGTTTTATGATAAATCTATCTTATATGCTGCTTCATACTAAAAGCCAGGCTACCCGTGGCAGAGCCGGGCATGAAAGCAACACACGGTGTTAAATAAAAAGGGGAAAGAGACTCCGCACATCAAAACCTTCCCACGAGCACGACTCTAACATCACATTCTGGAAAAGCCACCAGTGAGCCTGCTTAATTAATGCTTCTGCCATAACATCACCTTCCGGGTAGAACACCTTTGTTACGGTTTGAAAGGACAGCTCAAAACGTAATTGTCCAAAATAGCATCCCTTCAAAATAGTTAAATCCAGGAGGTCGGTTATCTTAACCGAATCTTCTTTTTTGAGGCAGAAGAGAAATGTTTTTGGAGGCCCGGAAGGATAATGCTGCTGGGGTACAAATTTCCCGTGGCGAGTGCTCTAGGGCTGCGCCCCGATGTGTAAACGAGGAGAATAAAGTGACAGACTGTGGCAGTTTTCTGATGGACGCAAGGGTAGATGAAGCTGCAGAGTGGACCCTTGAGTTTAACGGATTCAGAAAAGCTCTGGGGCCTGTGCTTCTAGACTTGGGCCTGCGTCTACTCTCTACGCTGCCTTGTTTCCGGCTTACTATTTGTGTAGCGAAAGAGTATCTATTTTGAAGCTGTCATTAATTCTGGGGGTTACCTTAAAAGCAATCAGAAGCAGAGGAAGAAAGGGAGACATTTTAGGATCGCTTAGGCTATCAAGTAAATCTGCCTTTTTTTTTTTTTAATGTTTTATTTATTCCTGAGAGACAGTGTGAGCAGGGGAGGGTCAGAGAGAGAGGGAGACACAGAATCTGAAGCAGGCTGCAGGCTCTGAGCTGGCAGTCAGCACAGAGCCCGACGTGGGGCTCGAACCCACGAACCGTGAGATCATGACCTGAGCTGAAGTCGGACGCTTAACCGACTGAGCCACCCAGGCGCCCCCAAATCTGCCTTTTAAGTAACTTGCATGTGCCGGTCTTCATCTCTCTGCAGGGCACCCCGGGCCGGCTTGCTGCTCTCTGCAGCCTCACCGCAGCTGTCACTTCGCTGTAGCTCCTGTCACGGCCTTCACTACAGAACGTAGCACACACGGCTTCTCAGAACCTGGCCTCAAGCTGACATCTGTAGCTTCTCTACGCTCCAGACAAAAATGTTTACCATTTCCAGAGCATTTCATGCACTAGAGAAATTTCATGCGCGAGATTCTCAGAGAAAAGTCCACCTCCTTCCCTTCTCGCCTGAGTCCCTGAGCCTCACAAAGGGCGACCAGTGTTTCCAGTTTCTGGGCCTTTCTTTGCTCAGCCAGTCTCCTGTGCCCGAAAGGGCTTCTCTTCCTCTGACCTCTGCTTACTGTTAAGCTCCTCGCTCTTTAGGCTTTGGCTCCAATGTCTTCTTTTTCAGTAGCTTTTCCCGAACCACTGGCCCTCAAGAGCGAAGTAGGCTGTGTTCCCCTAGCACTTTATAAATATTTCTTAAAGCGCTTGTATGTCAAGACTGACTACTAGCTCACCAAAGGTAGGAATGATGTCTGACAATTCGTCCTTGAATTCTTAACTTCAGGTTAAGAACAGCACAGGTTTTGGTACACGCTATGTGATCTCTAGAAATTTCCCTGTTGCCGATCTTGTTTAAGGTCAGTTCAACAAATTCATTAAATTCTTACCTCAAAGCTTGGCCGTTTTGAAGGCACTGCTTCTTTATATATATATATATATATTTTTTTTTTTTTTTTTTGAGAGACAGAGAGAGACAGAGGGTGAGGAGCAGAGAGAGGAGGAGACACAGAATCTGAAGCAGGCTCCAGGCTGTGAGCTGTCAGCACAGAGCCCGACGCGGGGCTCGAACCCACGAACTGTGAGACCATGACCTGAGCTGAAATTGGACACTCAACCTACTGAGCCATGCAGGCGCCCCTTGAAGGCACTGTTTCTATTCTCAAGGAATTTACAGTTTGCCAGGAGAAATAAAACCAACTATAATGTATAGCAGAGATATGGCTACAGAAGATAAGGAAGGGAGAAGTTAGCCTGGGGCATGGCATTCAGTGGAGTTTGGAGAGTGGTTTTGAGTTGGGCCTTTACGAGTATGGGTAGGGGGCAGCCGATGAGTACCTTCTGGGTTAGGTGACAGAATGAACCAAGGTGACCGAAAGAAAACTGAGGAATTGTGAGGAGACTTGCCTCTTAGATGGGGTTGGACTGTAGGGTTCATGACGAAATGAGGTTGAATAAACAGGAATAAACCAGATTATGGAAGGCCTTGAATTTAAGTGTTTTGAAAAGATGTCATTCCTAAAAGAAAACATAGAAGGAAAGTTTCCAGACATCGGTTTTGGCAATGATTTCTTGGATATGACGCCAAAACTCAAGAGCTTCTGCACAGCAAAGGGACCCATCAAGAAAAAATGAAAAGGCAACCTACAGAATAGGAGAAAATATTTGAAAACCCTCCATCTGGTAAGGATATAGGAGCAACTCCAGCTCAACAGGAAAAATAATCGTAATAACCCAATCACAGTAGGCAAAGGACTTGAAAAGACATTTCTCCAAAGACAACATGCAAATGGCCGTGCGATACATGAAAAGGTGTTCAATGTCACCAGTCACCAGGCAAATGAAGTTCAAAACCACAATGAGATATAACCTCATGCATGTTAGGATGGCTATTAATTAAACACAGAACATCCTCACAGTGTTGGTGAGGATGTGAAAACACTGGAATCCTCGTACACTTCTGGCGGGAACACAAAACGGTGCTGCTGTTACACGAAATAATATGGAACATTTTCAAAGAAATTAAAATAGAACTACCATATGGTTCAGCCATCCTGCCTCTGGGTATTTATCCAAAAGAGTTGAAATCAGGATCTTGGAGAGAGAGAGCAGCACTCCCATGTTCGGTGCAGAATTATTCACAATAGCCAAGATGTGGGGACAATCTCAATGTCTGTCGATAGATGAGTGGATAAAGAAAATGTGGCATCTCAGGGCGCCTGGGGTGGCTCAGCTGGTGAAGTGTCCGACTTCGGCTCAGGTCATGATCTCATAGTCCTTGAGTTCAAGCCCCGCGTCAGGCTCTGTGCTGACAGCTAAGAGCTTGGAGCCTGCTTTGGATTCTGTGTATGTGTCTCTCTCTCTCTCTGCTCTTCCCCCGCTAGCACTCTCTCCCTCTCAAAAATAAAATAAAAACATAAAAATTTTTTTAACGTGACATCTATACAATGGGATATTATTCAGATTTTAAAAAGAAGGAAATTCAGGGGCTCCTGGGTGGCTTAGTCGGTTAAGCGTCCGACTTTCGCTTAGGTCATGATCTCGCGGTTCGTGGGTTCGAGCCCCACATCGGGCTCTGTGCTGACTGCCAGCTCAGAGCCTGGAGCCTGTTTCAGAGTCTGTGTCTCCCTCTCTCTCTGAGCCTCCCCTGCTCACGCTGTCTCTCTCTCTCTCCTAGAAATAAAAAAAAAAAAAAAAAAGAAGGAAATTCTGCCATATGTAACAACATGGATGTATCTTGAAGACATGATGCTAGATGAAATAAGCTATAGAAAGACAAATACTGCATGAGTCCACTGATAGGAGATATTTAATGTAGTTAGATTCATGGAGCCAGGGTAAAATGGTGGTGTCGGGAGAGAGGGAGAGAGAAGGAGCTGTTATTCGATGAGCATAAAGTTTAAGCTATGCAAGATTAAGAAGTCCTAGAAGTCTGCTGTACAACAGATGTCTATGGTTAACATGGGTATATCTCACATTAAGTGTTCTTACTGAAATATTAAAAAGGAAAGAAAAGAAAATTAGCTACTTCAAACTAGCATTTGGACTTTCTTTAAACTCTTCCTTTTAATATCATAAAATTATACTCTCATGGAGGTGGCATAAATTATAAAAGTTGGTCCAACAATATCTCATTAATGATCTAAATCAGGAAGAACTGTGGGCCAATTCATCTACTGGGCATCACCATGTTTTTTTCTCCCAAAATTGAGAGTTTCAATGTCTTACTGAGTAACTTAAATATCGTCAGAAGAGGGTTTGACAATACTTCTCGCCGTGTTTGAATTTATTCTGTACATCCAATTTTTATCTCAGCTAAATGAGCCTTTTATATTTTTCTTTCTTAAAAAAGCGTAACCCAACAATGTGTTCGGAAATATTACCTGCAGTATCGTAATGAACAGGAAGAAAGCATTGGCACCTTTGCTAAACTGCAGATATAAATATCGAGGGAGGAACGACCACAGGCTGTACTTGGCTGTGCTGCAGGTAGAAAGAGAATTACCGACGTCAGCTCACACTCTGCACCCTGAAAACACCAAAGGAAAACCTAGAACTGGGTAAAATATTATTATAAAACACTGACTCTTTTTGGAAGATTTTTGTTGTTGATTTTGAAAACATTCATCGTTATCTGAAAACAATGTGGGGACAAAGAAAGAAATTTTCCCCGGAACTAAGAACTATGAATACAAGAGATAAGCAAGATGTATTCCACCTGCCCTAACGGCCTGGCATGCTTGAAACAAAACCCCTAATAACATCTGTCTTATTGTTTGAGGATAAGAGCTACCAGTGTCCCTCCCTCCTCTCCCTCCCAGGTGCTTCATCATTAAAAGTCACCTTAAACCCATCTACCCCCAAATGCCTAGGCCACGTCATGGACAGAGAAAACCATCACGGGGGTGTTTCTTTTTTCTAATTAATCTACTATATTTAAAAATCAGAAAGGGGCGCCTGGATAGCTCAGTTAGTTAAGCATCTGACTCTTGAGTTCAGCTCGGGTCATGATCTCGTGGTTCGTGACGGCATAATGCGCAGCTGCACTGACAGTGTGGAGCCTGCTGGAAATTCTCTCTCTCAGCCTCTCCTCCACTTGCATTCTCTCTCTCTCTCTCTCTCTCTCTCTCTCCCTCTTCCTCCCTCCCTCTCTGTCTCTCAATAAACAAACTTTAAAAAAAATATTTTTAATTATTTCTGAGAGAGAGAGACAGTATGAACAGGGGAGGGTCAGAGAGAGAGGGAGACACAGAATCTGAAACAGGCTCCAGGCTCTGAGCTGTCAGCAGAGAGCCCGACGCGGGGCTCGAACTCACAAACCGTGAGATCGTCACCTGAGCCGAAGCCTGACGCTTAACCGACTGAGCCACCCATGTGCCCCTAAACAAACAAACTTTTAAAAATAACCAGAAAGACCAGGAGTTTGGGGAAGATGGCAGAAGAAGCTTGAATTCACCTTGTCTGCAAACACACCAAGATACCATCTCCATCACCCAGAAGAGGCCACACCAGAAAAGGAAGGAAGGGCAGAGTTACATTTAGGAACCAAATCCCCAACTCAGCGAACCACAAGTGGGAGAGACAGCACAGGTACCAAAAAGCAAGAGAATCTGACCCCACAGCGGGCACCCCTGACCCTCGGGACCCACACCGATGAGCCCCCGTAAAATCTGGCTTTGAAAGCCAGCGGGGCTGCAACCCAAGAACTTTAGAGTTCAGCAGGCTTAACTGTGGGAGAGCCAGAGAGTAAGAGAAAGCTGGGTCCCTGCCTTTAAAGAGCCAGCATCCCAAACAGTACAGCTTAAGACCCAACCCGGAAGTAGCCATCTGAAATGCACAGGGGGTAGGAGACTGAAGGAGATTTGCTGACTAATCTCAGAACTCGTGCTGGAGAGGCATGGATCTGCAGACTTTTCCAGGAGCAAGATGCTGGCAGAATCCATTTCTCTTTCCTTCCCCCAGGCTGCACAGCCAGATGCCTGTGGGAGCCAGAAACACTCTTCATCTCCCTCGCTAGCATCAGGGCCCCCCCCCCCAGCGTTCCCCTGTCGACCCACCCCATCCAGCCTGCCTGATTCCAGAACAGGCATCCCAGGAAGGCAGCTGCTGCCCCCCGGCCCCTGCAAGCAGCTCCCGCAGACACCAGCGCCACCCCACAGGGACTCCTGCCCTGAAGACAGGGAGACATAACCCCACGTGAGAACATGCCCGCAGTTTCTGCAGCCAGGCCTCTTAGCTGGCCTTGCAGAAAGCAAGCCCTGCCCTACTCTGCATCTGTAGCTGTGGCAGAGAGGCTAATTGAAGACAGCTTGGCTGCCTGCTGGCCCTGCCCACCAACAAGCCCACAGTAGCCACAGACGTGCCTCTCCACAGTGCAGAGGGCAAACTCTGTCCAGTGCACCAACAGAAAAAAAAAGGGAGTCATTGCAGCTGGTTGAACTAAGAACAGCTGAGCCCAGACACAAGAGGAAGGTGCAAGGCAGCCCACACAGGAGATACCCCTGGAGAATGTTGTTCTGGTGACCAAGGGACAATGCACTATAAGGCCCCACTCTTCTATTAAAGACCACTACATTCAAGCACAGGAGATGTAGCCAACCTGCCTAATACATAGAAATAGACACAGAGTTAGACAAAACCAAGAGACAGAAGAATATGTCACAAATGAAAGGAAAAGGCAAAATCACAGGAAAAGACCAAAATGAAACTAAAATAATATGCCTGATAAGAAAAATTCAAAGTAATGGTCATAAAGATACTCAATGGGACTTGAGACAAGAGTGGATGAACTCAGTGAGAACTTCAACAAAGAGACAGAAAATATGAAAAACCAGTGAAAGCTGAAGTCAATAAGAGAAATAAAAAATACACTAGAGGAAACCACAAGCCAATTAGAGGATATAGAAGAACAGATTAGTGATCTGGAAGATAGGGTAACAGAAATCAACCCAGCTGAACAGCAAAAAGAGAACTCAGTAACAAAAAATGGGAATAGGTTACGGGAACTCTGTGACATCATCAATAACATTCACAATATAGAGATCCTATAAAAAGAAGAGAAAAAGAATTGGGCAAAAAACTTATCTGAAGAAATAATAGCTGAAAACTATTCTCTAATCTGGGGATGGAAACAGACATCCAGATACAGACTGCAGAGAGTTCCCCTAACAAGATGAACTCAAGGATGTCCACACCAAGATATACAATAACTAAAATGCCACACGAAAAAAAGTAACGATAAAAAGAATTTCTTAAAAAGCAAGAGACTAGCAGAGTTACATAAAAGGAAAGCCCCATAAAGCTATCAGGTGATTTTTCAGCAGAAACTACAGGCCAAAAGGGGGCAGTATGATAGATTCAAAGTGCTAAAAGAAAAAAAAAAAACACCCTACAACTAAGAATATTCTGTTGTGTTTCTATACACCAATAATGAAGTTGCAGAAAGAGAAATCAATAAAAAAATATCCCATTTATAATTGCACCAAAAATAATAAAATATCTAGGAATAAACTGAACCAAGGAGGTGAAAGACCTGCACTTTGAAAACTATAAAATATTGATGAAAGAAATTGAAGAGGACACAAATGGTAACATATATCATGCTCACGGATTGGGAGAATCAATATTGTTAAAATGCCAATACTACCCAAAGCAATCTGAAGAAAGCTAGATGTATCACCTTCCCAGGTTTCAGGATGTACTACAAAGCTATAGTAATCAAAACATTATAGTACTGGCACAAAAATAGACACATAGACCAAGAACACAGAATAGACAGCCCAGAAATAAACCCACACATATTTGGTCACTTAATCTATGACATAGGAGGTAAGAATATAAAAAGGGTAAAAGACAGTCTCTTCAATAAGTTTTACTGGGAAAACTGTACAACTACATGTAAAAGAATGAAATTGGACCACTTTCTTACATCAAACACAAAAATAAAATCAAAATGGATTAAATATGTCAATGTGACACTTGAAACCATAAAAAGAAGTGTCCATTTGGCATTGGATTTAGAACTATTTTTCTACTATATATGTCTTCTCTGGCAAGGGAAACAAAAGCAAAATTAAACTATTGGGACTACACCAAAATGAAAAGCTTTTGCACAGTGAAGGAAACCATCAACAAAATAAATAGGCAACCTACTTAGTGGGAAAAGATATTTGCAAATGACATATCCAGTAAGGAGTTAACATCATATATATAAACGTATTCAAATATAAACTTATTCAGCTCAACACCTCCCCCCCAATTAATCTGATTAAAAATGGGCAGAGGACTTGGGGTGCCTGGGTGGCTCAGTCGGTTGGGCATCCGACTTCAGCTCAGGTCATGATCTCATGGTTCGTGGGTTCGAGCCCTGCATCGGGCTCTGTGCTGACAGCTAGCTCAGAGCCTGGAGCCTCCTTCAGATTCTGTATCTCCTTCTCTCTCTGACCTTCCTCTGCTCACGCTGTCTCTCTCTTTCTCTCTCAGAAATAAATTAAAAAAAAATTTTTTTTAATTTTAAATAAAATATTTTTTTTAAATGGGCAGAGGACTTGAATAGACATTTTTCCAAAGAAGACACATAGATGGCCAAGAAACACATGAAAGGATGCTCAACATCACTAATTATCGGGGAAATGCAAACTAAAACCACAATGAAATATCACTTTACACCTGTCAGAATGATTAAAATTTAAAAACACAAGAAATAACAAGGATGTGAAGAAAAAGGAAGCCTCATGCACTGTTGGTGGGAATGCAGATTCGTGCAGCCACTATACAAAACAGTATGGAGATTCCATGAAAAATTTAAAACCTATTTACCATATGATCTAGTAATTCATTACTGGATATTTACCCAAAGAAAACAAAAACACAAATTCAGAGAGATATATGCACGCCTATGTTTATTGAAGCATTATTTACAATAGCCCACATATAGAAGCCACTCAAGTGTCCATCCATAGAAGAAAAGGCAAAGAAGATATAGTATATATCAACATGGAAGGGCCTAGAGGGTATAATGCTAAGTGAAATAAGTCAGTCAGAGAAAGACAAATACTATATGATTTCAGTCGTATGTGAATATAAGAAACAAAGAAAAAAAGAGGCCAACAAAAAACAAAAACTTAAGTACAGAAAAATAGCTGGCAGTTGCCAGGAGAGAGATGAGCCGGGGATGCGTGAATTGGTGAAGGGGATTAAGAGCACACTTATCTTGATGAGCCCTGAGTAATGTATAGAATTGCTGAATCACTATATTATACACCTGAAAGCTAATACAACACTGTATGTTAATTATACTTCAATTTTTAAAAAAAAGTCTAATACTAAATTCCATAATGTAGGATAATGGTGGGGAACTCAGCAGCTCTGTGAAGTTCCATTGGAAAACACTTTACCTTGGGAATGAAAACTGGTACATCCACTCTGGAGAACAGTATGGAGTTTCCTTCAAAAGTTAAAAATAGAACTACCCTATGACCCAGCAATTGTACTACCTCCTGGTAGTACCCAAAGGATACAAAAAGTACTAATTCAAAGAGCACATGCACCACAATGCTTATAGCTATCAACAATAGCCAAATTATGGAAAGAGCCCAAATGCCTATTGACTCTGGATAAAAAAGATGTTCAGTGTGTGTGTGTGTGTGTGTGTGTGTTCACATGCATGCATGTGTGTATATAATGGAAGGTACTTGTTGGGATGAACACTGGGTTTTATATGTAAGTGATGAATCACTAAATTCTACTCCTGAAACCAACACTACACTATATGTTAACCAACTTGAATTTAAATAAGACCTTGGGGGGAAGAAAAGGAAAGCACTTTACCTCATAGATAGATATTGTTAAAGAGAACTCTCCATTGGTAGTGGGATGCATGGTATTGCCATGAACAGGAACAAGTGAGAGCAGAGGCCAATTCAGAGACAGAAACCTTGAAGGTGAGATGAAGACACAGCGTGTTCTTGGTAGCGAACTTGAGAATTCAAAGTTTCTCAAGGTTTGAGACGACTGTTAGAGCCGGAAGTACCTAAACCAAGTGTTTTTTGCAGGTGAGGTCCGCATCTTCCTCCCTCCTCTCCTCCCAGCTCCACACACACTTCTCACCTGATGGAGTTTTTGCAGAAAGCGTTCCTAAGGGGTTCGTTGAGGTAAATGGTGCGGACTTTGGACACATCTGCTCCTTGCAGAGACTGTGGCCAGCCCATCTTTTCCTCCACGTTCTGACAGCTTAAAGAGAAATCAACAGGTCCTACAACAAGAAGGCAGGGGAACGTTAACACAGACACGCAAATGAAATCAGGCTCCAGGGAAAGCAGCGCGCGCCCTGCACGTTGGGACAGGGAACTTCAACCTCTGTCGAGTGCCCTGGGAGCAGGCTGCCTCCCAGCCTCAGGTTCTGCACCTGCCCATCCACTTCTCCAGGGACCAGACATCCAGGGCCTCCTCTGTCACCCTGCACTGGGAGGCAGTTCTGGTTCCCTCACAGCTCTGGTAACCCCACTACCTCCCCAGCTGGAGGCCCTGGGTGGGCCCTGACACTCAGCCCAAGGAGGAGACTTTGGGGAAGATGCAGTGACATAGGACCCAGCAGGTGGCCTCAGAAAGAGAACAGAGGAGGGGTGAAGGTGAAGAGGGCTGGGGGAAGGGGAGGGGAGAGTGTCTTGATGGAAGAGCCATAGTTCCAGGACCAGAGTGCAGCCCCCTGACCAAGATGGCCTTAACATTCCCCTCAGCTTGACTAAATTTTAAATAGAGGTCTTCTTATCTATAGGTCCCTGGATTCCCTTTCCTTTTTACTAATGTAAAGCATTTACTTTGGGAAATGTGATTGTATATTCTTATTCTACTCCCTTTGAAATGTATAGAAATGTCCTGAAAAGCCCCCTGCCAGCTTTAAGGTCATTGGGAATGCTTTTCTCAAGGACCTGGGAGATTTCGGAAATGTAATCATCAAAGAAGATCTCCACGGTAGGGTAGAAGCCGAACCTCAGGGAGTGCCTTGCTCTAAGTGTAAAATTCTCATATGTCATAAGATAAGACTAACTGTACTTGTTCTTTAGGTAAAGCCAGTTAGCAGACACAGGTGACCAACTCCCCCCTTCCTTCCCCATCTCAGCTCTCAGCTCTTACAAACTCTCGCATCTGTTGTTTCAACTAAGGTGAGCTCAGTCTCTCTCCCCTACTGCAATAGCCTTGAATAGTCTTCCCAGCCCAGTTAACTTCGCCCAGGTAATATATATTTTGATATCTCCTACCCCAAAAATAAATGAGATTTTTGACCAAGGGGCCAAGGAGAGTCTCGTTTGTTTCTGATGAGAAATAGAGGCTAGTATGCCCTCAACATTAAGAAACGCCTTTATGTCTGAGTCCATGTACCCAATTTTCCTCAGATTTGCCCAAGGTCCTATAGTGCAGGATTAATCGGGATATTCGAATCCTTGAGTTACGGAACTTTCCCACCATCACTGTATGTTTAGTCCTGCTATTTATCTACAAGCATCTCCCCAACAACCCATTCATGTGTGAGGGTGAAGAAACAAAAGGCCAAGGTTTACTAAGGGGCTGCTGGTGAAAATAAATAAAGCTCTAAACACCTGACTGGACACGTGTGATCTTCAGGAAGGGGGAGCCTGCTGACCTGCTGCTACTTGAGAGAAGGGTGCTGGTGACTAAGTGTCCCCAGTTGAAAGGCCTGAGCCTAAGCTAATGTCCCGGCTCACACACTAGATGCCTCTCACCGCACCAACACATCTCTTCTGCAAATAATTGGTCTGTTAGAGTGGCCCCATTAAACTGAAAATAGTAAACAGTGAGACAGAATAGAATCTATGAAAAAGTAATGCAGCCCTTTGCCTGTAAAAATGACAAAGCCTAAGGAACACAAGACAAAGGCATTTCTTGTTTGCACATCAAAAGAATTAAGTTACAAAACACACAGAAAATACATTTCCTGTAAAAGAAATTAGATATGGCCATTATGAAACAAGCGGTCAAAAATAGAAATACAACATTATTTTTTAAAGTGACAATGAAACTACAGAAGAATTTTCAATGTGACCTGAAAGAGCGCAGAAAAGAAATGAAAGAGAAATATCTTAAGAAAAAGGAAAGCCACCCTAGAAGCAACTAAGGTAACAGAGAGCTGAAAAGAGGCATGTCCTGCACAGACTATGAAAACTAAGCAAAACGAAATGAAAAAGAGCACAGACGATAAAGAACTGGAGAAAATTACAGATGTGGGACAAAGGATCCAATGTATGCATATTTCTTGTCCTTAAGAAATTTAAAAAATGAAACAAAACTATTGAAAGTCATAGTAGAATAGACCTTTCTTTAATGAGAACAAAATGACTAAGAAAAATCTAACACAAAATAAATGCCAAGACATTTCCCGGTTAAGTTTAGTGGAGTTTAGGAATAACAAACAAACAAAAAAATCACTATTAGACCAGCAAATCACTTATGAAGGTCAGAAAGAAAGGCACTATTGGGGTCACACTTAGGTTTCACCACTGAGGCAGGAGGCCAGCTGTCCCATCAAGAAATGACCGAAAAGCTGGTAAACAGGATGTAGATAGCAGTGACTTCTTTGGGTATTAAAACAAGGCTTTAGATAACTATAGGCCATCTTATTGTGACCACACTTTCTGTTGACACAGCTTAAAATGGTGACCTTTTTAAAAGGCTTTTTAAATCCATTAGTCAAGATGGCAGCTATTATCAAGTCAAATGTTAATCAAAAACAAAATTCAAGAGAAGTAAGTAAAAAATTCAAAAGGCACTTTTCTCCTGAAGAAATCTAATTAATACCAAAGTTAACTGTGGGAAAACAGGGGTTATAGAAGTCAAGGCTCAGGTCATGCCCAAGATGAAGACTCTGAGAAAATGTCATATTCACAGAGACTCATCTCAGGGTCAGGGTGAAGTTGAAAGACTGTTGCCCCATTATCCATTCATCAATCACTCCCACAGGGCCTTGGTAGCATCCTGACAAAGAAGAGATTGAGACAAACAGACAGACAGAGACAGAGAGACACAGGGAGTGAGAGAGAGAGAGAGACAGAGGTGGGAGGGAGGAGACTGTCCAGCAGAATAACCCAAAATGGGATCACCAGAGTTATCCAAGAAATCTCAAGAACTATCAGTTTAAAATGGTTCAGAATTAGTAGTGCTACAAGGTAAAAGCAGATAGAAAGACAGACAGACAGAGAGAGAGAGAGAAATGGGGCAAAAGCAATACGTGAAGACAGAGGGCTATGAATTTTTCAGAGAAGCAAGAAAACCAATACATCTCAAAGTAAAAATTAAAACCACACTTGGATTGGTAGTGAAAATGCAGAAAAATAAAGACAAAGAGGATATCTTCAAAGCAGCCAGTGAAAAATAAGAGGAAGGAATGCTTCCTAAAAATTTTATGAAACCACGTTATGACACCAAAACCAAAGTCATTACAAGAAAAAAATAGTACAAATACAAATCCTTTATAAACATGAATACAAAAATCCTTAGCAAAAAATCAAATCTACCAATATACAAAATGATCACATACCATGACTTTTATGCACTGAATTGCATCTTCACGCCAAAAGATGGTACGTTGATGTCCTAACCCTCAGTACCTCAGAATGTGACCTTATTTTGAAATAAGTTGTCTTAGTCTGTTCAGGCTGCTCTAACAAAATACCACAAGCTAGGTAGCTCATAAACAACCAATTTATTTCTCACAGTTTTAAAGGCTGGGAAGTCCAAGATCAAGGTGCCAGCATGATGGTTTTGGTGAGGGCCACCTTCGTGGTTCAGAGCTGGTTCATTCTCATTATATCCTCACATAGTGGAAGGGGCTAAGGATCTCTCTGGGCCCGCTTTTATAGGGCACCGATCGCATTCACGAGGTCTCCTTCATGCTTAAGCACCTCCCCAAGGCTCCACCTGCTAGTACCCTCACCACTGGTACTTAGGACTTCAACACATGCATGGGGGTAGGGGGACACAAATATTCAGACCACAGCATAAGGTCCTTGCAGCGTCAACCAAATTGAGATAATGTCACAGAGTGGGCCCTAATCCAATATGAATAGTATCCTTATGAAAAGGGGAACTTTGGTCCAAGAGACAGACACACGTATAAAGGGAAGACCATGAGAAGAGACAAGAAAAACGCCACGTGAACATGGAGGTACAGAACGGAATTGTGCGGCTGCAAACCAAGGAGCATCCAGAGCGACTGGAACATGGAAGAGGCAAAGGATGATCCTTCGCCTATTATTTCAAGTGAAGTACGGCCCTGCTGACCTTGACTTCAGACTTCTATACTTGAGAATTCTGAAATAATAGATTTCTGTTGTTCTACGTCACCCAGTTTGTGGCAAATTTTCCCTATGATAAGCCTAGGACACTGATAATGACCTAGTGGGGTTTATTCCAAGAGAGGAAGTTTGATTCATCATTTGAACGTAAAAGGATGTAATTTATCACCTCAAAAGACTAAAGAAAAAAAAAACCCTGTGATAATCTCAACAGATACAGAAAAGGCAGTTGACAAAGTTCAACATCAAATGATCAAAACTCCCAGCAAGCCAAGAAAATAGGGGACATTCTTCAACCTAATGAAGGATAACTATGAAAAACCTGCAGCAAATATCAGACTTAATTGCGAAAGACCAGATGCTTTCTTCCAAAGACTGGTAATGACCCAAGGCTGTCCTTCCTCACCACATATACACAATATTATACTGAAGGCTTTATTCAGTACAAAAAGGCAAGACAAGTAAAATGCAAAGAGAAAGGAAAGAAAGAAAGAAAGAAATGGAAGTCTATTGACAAACTATGTGATGGCCTATATAAAATCCTCTCAAAGTATTTTAAAAACCATTCTGGTGTAACATGTAAAAAAAAAAAACTTGGAAATTAAGACTTCCATCTTCATAAAGAGAAAAAATATATATGACTAAACTGAAAATCAATGACTCTTTTTATATCCCTCAGAGAATTCAGGTCACAGGGCAAATTGCCACCCCAAAAACTGAAGAGAGGGGTGTATACAGAGAATCACAATTTATCTCTGGAGCCAGAAACTGGAAGAAACATGTAGAGGGTCACTGATTAATTGCAGAAGGCTTAACCATAAATTAGCTTCGAGATAAGTCTCTGGGGACACAGTCCTACAGGGGGACCTTAAGGAGCACTGCTAGGCTCTCAGGGTGAAGATCAGAGAAAAGTCCCCTCATATGAGCCACCAGTAAGAGAAGG